TGACGAAAGCAGTGCCAACATGATCCTGGATACATGATGATACGATTTTGATCCGTCTGTATATAGAGGGATATATTTCCTATATTTGTTTCTATGTTAAAAAAAAATCTGCTTGTAGATGATTTCATTAGTTTGTGATTTATTCCAGTGTCGAAAAGTATCCACAGAATGGATTCTCCAATCCTCCCAGGGAGGAATTCCAAAAAAATCCTCCATCTGTATATCTATATTAGACAAATTATACTCCTCCACCAAAGCACTCATCCGCAAGCCGAAAGATGGGAGACATGATGGTCGTGCCTGATATAAACGGTATTGGTCATTAAGCAATATTGACCGCGTAGAATTTTCGGTTTGTGATAAGACTTTGAAATAATGCTTAAAACAAAGATTTTCACATCTTAACCGCAGGGAGGTCTCGTTACTTTCCACATATAAGCTTTCCACTGGAGAAGTTCTAAAGGCACCAGTGCACATCCGAAGTGCATGGTGATGTATCGTCGGATCAAGTTTGGCCAATACTGAAGGCCTTGCCGACCCATAAATGATTGATCCATAATCTAGTTTCGAACGAATGAGAGCTCTATATGTAAGAAGCATTGAGCTTCGATCAGCACCCCAAGAAGTATTTGACAGTACTTTCAGAATATTCATAGTTTTTAAACATTTCTTTTTTAGATAGGTAATATGGGAAGGAACGTAAGCTTATGGTCAAATATCATTCCTAGGAATTTTATTTCCTTTTCTACAGGAATCGGCACATCTTGCAGATAAAGTTCGGGGTCAGGGTGAGGAATTTTCTTTCGACAGAAATGTAGACACACAGTCTTTTGAGTAGAGAATCTAAAACCATTTTCCTGTGACCATTTAACAATTCTATTGAGAGAAGTCTGCAATTTACATTCAATGTCTTTCAGGTCTTCTCCCTGGCAACTGACTTGCAGGTCATCGACATAGAGCATACCCTGGACTGCTGGAGGCAGTTGTTTTAAAACAGAGTTAATTTTTATACTAAATAATGTAACACTTAATACACTTCCTTGCAGAATGCCCTCTTCTTGATGGAACATGTCAGAAAGTGTATTGCCTATCTTCACATGAAACTTCCGATCCTGTAGGAAATGTTTGATGAATATCGGCATGTTTCCTCGTAAACCATTGTTATATAGGTCACGAATGATACCGTATCTCCAGGTGGTATCATAGGCTTTCTCTATATCAAAGAAAATGGAAACATAATGATTTTTTCTAACGAACGCTCTACGGATACCTGTTTCTAAGAGTTGGATATTATCGATAGTTGCTCTTCCTTTTCTAAAACCATTCTGATAAGGGGAGATACAATTATTTGTCTCTAAATAATAACCGGTCTGAAAAGGTCCCTTCAATAGAGCTTCGGCTTGAGCTTCTCTTTTCTGAGCTTTTGATTTTCTTTTTTGAACTCTCTGTTTCTTGTGTTTTTATTTCTCGACTTTCTATTATCTGTTTGGGAGGAGGTAGAAGAAAGACTTTTTCTTTGTCATTTTTTTGGTTCAGGTATCTTCTTCTGTGTGCTATGCGATGTTTGTGTACTTATTGACCCGATATGATTTAGTGGCTTGTGCATAGGAGACATTTGCTTTTGACTGGCCCATGCTAAAAAGTTTCTTAGCTTCAGGATAGGAGATTTTTCTTGAGGATAGGAGTCTTAATATGCTGTATTTCTTTCTCTTCTTTCCACTTAGGGCAGTTTCATGAGTATGCCTGGATGATCGGCATGACAGTTTGCACATTTTTGATCAGCTACACAATTCCTGACTTTCGTGACCTCCTGCAGAACAGCGAGCACATGCCAGGTTTCCCCGGCATGCGGCCTTCGCATGGCCAAACCGTTGACACTTGAAGCAGCGCGGTGGGTTTGGCACGTAAGGTCTGATGGGGCAATTCAGGTAACCTGCCTTAATGGCTTTCGGTAGCTCTGGAGAGGAGAAAGACCGAATAAGATGTTTTGTGTTGACAAGTTGTCTGTCTCTACGGACTTTTATTCGGCGGACGCCACATACATTTTCGTTCGGCAAGTTCTTTTGAAAGTTCATCCTCAGAGACTGATATCAAGTCTATTTCCGAAATGACACCTCTTGACGTGTTCAAAGACTTATGTGGGGATACAGTAATAGAACGTTTCCCCATTTTGGTCATTTTTAGGAGACAGGAAGATTGTGCATCAGATGTAGTCTCAATGAGCAGAGATCCTGAACGGAGCTTTTTTATGTGTTTTGGCTCGCCTGCTGAGGCCACAATATGCTTATGGATGAAGAATGGTGATAAATTTTCTAGCTGACCAGTAATAACTAAGAACTTTGAACATTTGCTTGTGCTAACTAAGGTCGAAGTGCAAATTCTTTTAGCAGGTCCAGAATTTTTCGTATCCATATCGTTAGGAGAAGAAGTTAAAGTTTTCATATTGAAAAGAGAGAAAGGTTCGGACCCGACCGCCCCACCCACCATGGAGCCTACAACAAGGGAACACAGATCCCTGTGTTAGGGCTAGCCGGGCCTATACGCAAACTGAAGCCCCACAGTCGGCTTTCCCAAAAGCGGAGACTTCCGAGAGCTTATCCCCTACCACTGACCAACAGACTAGTGGCCAGCCGATTGACACTAGCGGGGACAGCTAAGTGCCTCCCGTTTTAAGTAGAAGCAGAGGCCAAAGCATGTGTTTGGGACAGTACCTTGCCCTCAACTGCCAGGATCCTCCTTTCCCACCCTACGGGTCACCATTCACGGCAAACGCATAGGCGGTATTCTCATCATGGTGAAACAAACTAAGAGTAGTAGCTGCATCTCACAGTGAGCCCCAACCTCCAGTAGAGGAACCACAAGGGAGAAAATAGGAGAGAGAGCTAGACAAGAGGAGAGGAAAGAGAGGAGAAAGGTCACTGGGGCCCCGGAGTGTGATACCGATCACCAAGACGGCAATCCCCTGAGGGTTCTTCACCTGCTGTGCTTTAGCTGGGCATGTTGGAACGGCCTTCACGCCTAGGGTGGCCCTACCAGGAGCTATGCTCCCGACGTACTTCGCCCGTTCCGCCCAGTGACACCCCCGCCACGTTGAGGCAGCATAGCAGGACTTTGGGGGGCCAATGAAGATGACAAACTGCATCTGATAAAATTATATCTAATGAATAAATTCATTTAAGGTTAGTTTGATATTTATTAATTGTGGATGAAAAATTAAACTACAATTCGAAATTCAAAACCCAAACATCCAACATCTGCAATGATCTTCTGGGCCTTCAAGCTAACGGCCAAAAGAAAAACAAATAATAGAAAATGAAAAAAAAATCACTCCTTGCTTTTACAAAAAATCAAGAATGGACACACAATATAAAGGGAGGCAATAATATCCATCAAAGGAAAGCAGGTGCGCCATAAATCCAATTTTTCTCTCAATTAATTACGATTCCTGCATGTCACTTGCAAACAGCAGCTTGGCTAGAGTCACATTGTAGCAAATAACATATTACATTGACTGATGTTGGCCAGAATTACACTTGAGTGTTTGTGGGGAAGAGACAGCACCTGTGCTGTGCACCTTTTACAGCACACTGCAAACCCTATGGGTCCTAATTTCTGCAGTCCAATACTTCCTGAATTCTAAAAATTCTGTTACCCAGTGCCTCTTTTAAATTCCAAATTATGCCATCCCTAATTTTTGTTGCTTCATGCTTCTCTAAATTTTGCGATTGCACCAGCCCTGCTGAGTGAAGCCTTCCTCTACTTGACATAGGCAATAAGCAAAGCCTAGATGTTACCACATCTACATGCCATCTTACTAGATTTAAACTGATGATCTAAAAACGCAGAATCGCTGAAGTCCAAGCAATTCCAGATTTTGGACTTTGTATTGTATTATCCTCTGCATTTTATGAAAAACACAGTAAGTTGACAACATATGTTAATATAATTATCATATCTCAAATTTGATTACACCATAGTGCAACTATTCAGCCTTATTTGAATTATTCATTCCAGAAGTGCACATACAGATTAAGAGTTTAAAAAGGAAAAAGTTACTAGCCCTGCTTTCCAAAAGTTCTCTTGTTCCTTATTTGAATGAAAGGCTATAATCAGAAGGGTGAAAAATTCGAAACCAAAATAAAATGCTTTTCTATTTGAACAAATTTTTCATTTACATTCATAAAATGCCACAATAATTAAAAATCCTTTTCAATTTACTTTAAGTGTTTCTTTATATCCTCAAACCATTTTACTATTTTTTAAATAATCCAAATATTTATTGTACCACTCTTGAATACTCCCGACTTTTAATTTGCAATTTCTAGTGATATGAAATTTGGCTACCCATTTCAAAGAGCACTTGGAAGAATTATCTGTAGTGTATATTACTGCAGATATAAAGGCATGAATATGAGTGAAGATGGCATTTAAATAAGCAAAAACATTAGTTCAAAACTACATCCAGACTTTTTTTTTAACTGATTTACACAGCTGCTAACCATAAAATATGTAAAACTGGGAGGTCTGGGAGATTTTTGTACTGTGCTGTGGCACCTCAAAGGAGTTCCAAATTACCTTAAATTTGCTTTATAATAGTGCATGAATTAGATTATTCAACTGTTTATGATATTATTCTGATAAAGAATATATTAATACGTATATATATTCTAAATTTTATGTACTTTCGCTAATGGGATGAGGGAATGAAATTTGTATAATTTAAGATTCATTAATTCAATAAATTTCATTAATTACTGAAAAACACTTTACTTAGGCTAAAAATCGGAAGATTCTGTGATTTACTGGAAGACAATCCATAGTTGCACCAGGAGAGGTGCAACTATGGATTTATCATTGTTTCACTTTTGATTCTGCATTCATACCATAAACTCGGAACATTATTTCACTTTCAAAATCATCAATTTCTTATTAACTTATTGCCTATATTATATTACAGCTTTAAAATATCAGTGACAATAGTTCTAATAATAAAAACTTACAAAGCCTGGTATTTGTACAGTCAATAAGAAGTCAGCAGCATCTTTAGCAAGCTGTTTTTCTTTTGATAACTTCTCAGGCTAAAAAAGGAAAAGGACTTAAATGCAATGCGTACAATGAAATTCTGAAATTCTTCAAAGAAAGCATGGTTTGTGCACACATTAAGTTACATGGTGAACATATAGAATTAACTATATATTTGTACTCACATGCGTAGTTGGATGTCTGACACCAGGAGAAAATACATCAGGGTTGAATCGGATATCAAATTCTGAAAAAGGATGTTTAATAATGATAAACAAAATACAGAATACAAAAACATGAAAAATTATACCTTTGCAATGTTATATAGTTAATGTCCTATGATAAACTATATAAACATAAGCATCTATTGACACAACAGTACATTAGTCCAGTTTTTAAGCTAGATGCATGTGATACATTCTTAATGTGTTGAAGGAATTTTATTCTTTTTTAAAATGCTTTCCCATTTCGTATTCACATTTTTAATTGTGCTAGAATTCATTGCACTGCCATTCCTGTGTCTATACAAAAAGGATGCATTTCACTATTGTTGATTTCTAATCATTTATTTGCATAAGATATTTTAAAATTTCAGATCTTGATCAAAATTTAGAAACTAGCAATTCAATTACTCTGAATAAATTCAAATAGATACACTGAATTGCAGAATTTTCGTTATAACAAATATTGTTTTTAATTACTTACCAGTTTCTTTTAATGAGCCAACAGCTAAAGCAGCTTTTTTAATTACTTCTCTGGTACTATCAACTAAAAAAAAAAAAGAAAAGAAATGACTATACTTAATAATTGATTGTTTGACATTAATTGACAGCAGACTGCTAATTTAATGCTTTTAAATATAAATACAAAAAAGTAATGACTATTTCCTTATTCAAAACCTATATAATTCTTAAATTACATCAATGAATACAACTCAGTTTGGAATTTTGAAATAACTGAAAATAATTTTGATAAAGATTATAACTGCTAAAAAGTGACACACCAAAATGAAAGAACTGGCTCTTAACAAAAAGATAAACACTATACTGGATAAATTAAGAAAATTTTAATGTATTACAATATCACTTAAGTTCTTGTAGTTTAGTGCTCAATAATGCCCTCTTTGCAACTGAATAAGATAGGGGGTGGAAGGTGGCCTCAGATTTTACGAGCATTCAGTCAAAAGTTTTCATGCCAGATATGATCATCATGGGCCAAAATATACAAAGTGCAAAGAATTTTGTAAAAATTTATATTTTAATTCATAACAGTAGTACTCGAACTAAGCACTCAGAAATAGAAAATGTATCTACAAGTTGCACAAAAAAAAAAAAAAAATTCTTTTAATACATTTGTTTACTAAAAATACATGAATGGTTTTTAATGTATTGGAATCTTCGCCTATACACAGCGAAATGACAAAAATAAAACTAATAAAACCAGCCTAAAGTTTTGGAGGCCTTTCATGGAAACATACAGCTGCGGTAAAAATGGACACTACAAATATGCAAAGGTATTCTGGAGGTAATTAATACCAGATTTCTTGGAGACAAACTTATAAATTTATATTTGGATACATAAAACTTTGCACAAAAAACTTAAACAGCCTACACTGAAAGAAATTTTTAACCCTTTAGATCATAAATGCTTCATTATTTCATAAATTATGATTTCATATTTTTAATTTTATAATTTCTACATGCCATCTTACTAGATTTAAACTGATGATCTAATATCCAGAAAAATCCCAAATTCGAGATCGCCGAAGTCCCGACAAGTTCGGATCTTGGACTTTATACCGTACTATGGTGGAAAAAAAGTCCAGAAGCATCCACTGTTGTCTATCATTTCATATACCCAATGACAAATATAATGCAGTACAGAAGCCATGTTTTCATGTATTCTCCACAGGCTCGATTGCACTAGTTTTTATTTTTGGCGTTTAATTGTGTTCCTTTGCATAAATCCTTTTCAATGTATTCTCTGACTGCTCCTCTTCCAATAATGCTATACACAGATTTGCCCATTTTTATAAGATGATAAATCTTTCACAAAGCACAGCTTAAATTTTTTTTTCCCTCTAAAAGAAAATTTCTTGTTAATTATGGGAATTTATTCAATGTTCTGCTCTAAAAAGCATTTAAAAAAAAAAAAAAAAAAGAAAAAAGAAAAGAAAGAAAGCAGTAATCTCACATATTACATTGATGGTTACCTTCAGACTTATCTTTATTCGTTATAGATTCTACAATTTTTTTATATTCATCAGTTTCTAAAGAATTTTTTTTCTCTTCAGAATTATGCAGGTTATCATCTGCTTGATTTTTTTCTGCAGTTTCTTTGTCCGAGTTGTTACATTTTAAAATACCAGTAGATAGTGCATCATTTTCTTCTTGCTCTGCTTGCTATAAATTAAAAACACAATAAATTCTGAGATCAAAATAAATAAATCTCTGCAAAACGCTATTAGTAAGAATTTTGGGGAAAACTAGTAACTTAATACAGTAGAAGCCCAGAAATCCGCAAAACTTGGGACCAGAGGTTGTGCAGATTTTAGAATTTTGCGGATTTCAGGACAGAAAAGATAAAGCATAATATTCAGACTTAAAGTGCAAAATAAATAAGGCATATTAGATACATTTAATTAAATTATTATATATATTATTGCAATAACTTATTATATGCATTAAATTATTATTATATATATAAATTGATTATATTATTTATTGTATTATATATACACAGCATCGAAGATGGCCGATTTCGCCTCATGCAAATATTTCCGGTTTCGGATTCCAGTGTTAGAATTACTGTTGCTGTAAAATTTCAACAGCTTTTCTTTATTTTTTTGTATATCATACTAAATCGTATCACAATTCCATACGATTCTGCTATAAAATGCACCTATGTCCATCTTTTGCAGAATTTGCACTTTTTGCATTACTGTAATGCAACGTGTTTACGTTTTTCAATGTTGCCAGCAGTAAAATCATGAGTGCGTTTTTTTATCTGTAATTGTATTAAAAAGGGCTGAAATTTAAAATATTCTTAATTTATCCACAAAATATGTGGATAAAAAAAGGCAGCACTAAATAATCTCATGAAATAACAAAGCTTAGAAAATACAACAACGTGAATCGTGAACTTGAAAAAAGAGTTGAGTGAATCGTCTGCTTTCTTACCTCGATGCAGAGATTAGAGGAGAAAAAACTTTTATCATGATGTCAATAATTGGGTATTTCCATTATGACTCATTATTATTTGGTAATTATACTGTCATTATTTGGTAAGTATTTTTTCTTCGATGTTTCGTACTCAAAGTTGCGGTTTCCGGAACCTATAAATTGAATGTTTATATTTTGAAGAGGCAATGTGAATTTCAGAAGTTGGCGGATTTCAGATCAGCGGATTTTCGGTATTTGACCGTAGTACAATACAGAAATTTGACCTTCCAGTCAATGCACAAACTGGAACTGCAAACACAGCCAATATATCTAGATATTTATAATTTTGTATTACCCTTAAAATTTATACATTTAAATTGATAAATTAAACTTTGTTACATGCACATATATGTTAAACATAAAAGAAAGTTACATTTTAAAACCTGAATAAAAACGTTAATTTCTAAAAAGGAATAGTTTCCATAACTAAAGCTATTAAATGCCAAACTCATATGAAGAAAAACCTTAAAATAGAATGGCCGAATTCATACTGCAGCTTACAATATTCTCATAATAAATCTTAAAATGCTTTTACTTTAAAACCATAAAACAAATAAATTTCATTGAATAGACTGCTTTTAAACACATTTTGGAATTGCATTAAATACATTCATATAACGATCAGTCAAACTGATTTGTATTTCTAATCAATGTCAAATTTAAATTTTTTGAATATTTTGTTTTTTTATCAACATTTTATTATAATACTTTGTTATATTCTGCCATTGCCCCCCCTTTTTTTTACATACCATAGCTTGACAACTGCTGGCCTATGAGAAAGAAATTCAAAATCAATCATTTGCACAACTATAACACCACAGAAGTCTAGCCAAATTTCACACTAATTAAAAATATTCCATATTTATGAAAAATAAGTCACTCAAATAGCTCATGTTAATATTGTCTTTCATACAATTTTTTCTGCTAATGATATACCTAGAAGAATTTCTTTCCAAATTTTTACTCGAGAGATTTTATAAAACACTAAAAACTTAATGCTTCTCTTTCTAAAAAGCGCATCTTTCTGAATTAGTATTGTAAAAAAAATGTACAACTGAAAAGCTCAAAGGGCATCAATTTTAGGATTTTCATTTGATTCAAGATCATATATCTGCTAGAATGATTAATTATTTCTCTGTCTCTTAGTCCACTGCTCTTGTGTCATTTATTCTAGTATCCATTTATTCATTCGATCATTAGACATTCAAGATTAAAATAATGTGCTCTCAAATTCTGAGCTATCAGTGAGCTTATGAATTATAAAGTAGATAAAACTAAACATTCATATAATTATTAAATTAAATTCTTCGAAGATTTTTTAAAATATGAAATCAAATTTTCTGCAAAATTCATCTATAAGAAACAGATCATAAATATCTTTCTGAAGACCGTCTGCTCTCATATTTTCTGATATATATTTAAATAGATGCATAGTGCTTTTCCATTTTCTTCATTAACTGGGAACAGTTTCAAAAAAAGGAATGGCAGATTTTTCACTCAATTAAAACTATCCAAAAAAGTTTAATTCAAGGGGAAAATGATACATCTAAAGAAACACATACTGATTATTACTAAGAATGTACAGAGAGATAATATTTTGATATTATCTCCCTTTCATGAAGATCTCAAAATAATTAAATACATCAAAAGAATTAGGGAAACAATAGTTCCATTATAACTTGCACACATAAATACAGGAATTATTTGTAAATTTATTACTATTATGGATATGCCACTGTTATATGAATGACCAATTTCAGATGCAATAAAAATTTGCTGATAAAAACAAACATTTGTTTTTATTTTTATATAAATGTTGGAATGTATAAAAATACACAAATCAAAGAATGAATATTTTTAGTTACACTCAAAATGTTGTAAACACAGTTTAAAATTCTTAAGCACATATATGCAGCAAAAAAGATAAAATATTTCAAAATATGAAACAATTATCTCGCATATATGGGTTTCAATTCCATTCTCCAAAACATACAGAAAACTTTTAGATATATTACCTTGTCCTTTATGTAGTTCTTTAAACCAATTTGTTGTAAATGAAAAGCAGCTAATTTTATGAACATCATGTATCGAGCACTACAAAATAAAATGAATAAAAATTACTTAATTGGAGAGAACTTTTTTTAATTACTATACAATTTAAATAAATTTGTAAAAATAAATTAACAAATCAGGAACACATAAAATTTATAAACAATACATACTTATAAGATAATTTTAAAATTATTTCTTTAGTAGTTATTTAATGCAATTTATATCAAAAGAAATCCCCCTCTATTTGAAACAGAACCCGAGTTCTGCAATCAGTACTTATAAAAAAACTCAGGAAAGAACATGTATTAATGATACCAAGAACTGAGGGGTTTGGGGGGTTTTATTTTTTATTCTTATTATTTATATACTTCAGTGATAATGAATCATTAATTGGGACATTCCCTCAGGACACAGGGGAGACGAAATGAATCTCCTAATCCCCCTCAAAAAAAGTAACCCCTAATGTCAGAATTTTTTGGTACCATTTTATATTTTGATTCTGTCTGAGCATTAAGAGTTTTTCTTTAAATTTCAGTGTTTCCCAAAATGTCATAAACAAGCTGTATTTTCTTGGTTATAATTCTAAAATGACTATTTCACTGTGTACATGGACTTATTTTTTTCCAACAGACATCCAACCTGAAATCAGATTTATCAGGATCAGGCAGAAATTTTTATGTGTAACAAATGAAAAAGTCATCCTTCGGTATGAAATTTTACATCCTGTAATACTTCAAAGGAAGAAAAGATGCCATATACATTAAAATTAGCATTTAATAATCTTTTTGCTTTAAATGGAATAAAAATACATTAAAAAGTATGCTTACCTTGAGAAAAAATTTTCGAAAGCAATACTCAAATTATTCTGAACTTTAAATTGACAAAATACATTAATATTCTTTAAAATTAATAAAATATACAACAAAGACTATTCACAAGAAGTAACAAAATTTTGAAATGCAAAGTCTTACATTGATGATGAAGAAAAATGTTTGCTGCAACAAGCATTTTGTCACTAATTGACTCATTATCATTATTTAGCATTTTTTTCCTCCGACAAATAATGATTTTTCGCCTAATAAACCGGAATCAAGGCTTTCTGAATAAAAAGGAAAGTATGTGGAATCAAAAGCAATATAAAGTGTAACAGAATTGACAAAAGCTCTAAAACAGCTCACACGGACAAAAAAAAAAAAAAAAAAAAAAAAAAAAAAAAATACTTGCAGAGACGTTAGAAATGCGAACACATTTATATCATATGGAATGTTAAACAGACGAGCACTGTTTGTTTACATTACGCTTTCCCTCCTCTCCCATAACAGCTGATGAGAAAATATCAAAGTCAGGTAATGTGAGCAAACTTAAGGTTAGGATCCTAAAACTAGGTTCAGTTCAAAAGTAATGGACATGGGGCACGATCTGTTGGTCTTTCAAAACTGTTTCAGAATAAAATGAACATATGCATCAGCCACCTACCAAGCTCATTCACCAACAATGCATAGGTGGCATGCCTGGCTATGAGAGAGGTTCATAGGTAATGCATTTATGGGACACCTGTCCCAAAAGGGTTGATAGTAATATCATTATAAATTACAATACAGCACTTAAAATATAAAAAATTATACTACATTTATATTAAAAATATAACAGACTTCTTGCATATTTCTGAAATATAATAATTCTTAAATTAATCACTTTAAATGCATAACTACGGAAAGTTCCTAACCACAGTTTACAATAACTTAATTACTTCTGAAGGATAAACACGGGATCTATACATCATGAAACAATCCATAAGCAAGTAAAATATTGAATAAAATGAAAAATTTTGCAAAATTTCAAAACAAAAATACTAAAATTAATTCTTACTCAACAAATGCATCAATTAATTCCTGTCTCAAACAGCACAGCTTGTGTTTATGCTCCCGCGGAAAACCTAATGCCTGAGCTTCTTTTGAAAGTTCTTCACCTTCAACTGCAAGAAATAGGAAAGAAAAATTTAGAGAAAACTAACAAAAAATAAACTAATTAATAAAAATAAATAAATAAACGTATAATCTAAGAATTCTAAAATACCAAATTTACTCAAAACAAAATAGTTACAGTACAACCCTGAGTATACGAGGTATGGTACATTCCAACATATAACGTGCACCTATAATTTCAAACTACATTATTTAATTTTTAAGTATATTCACCACATAGCAAGTACCCGTTCTTTACAAAGAGGCCTGAAAGATACATATGCGATGCTCGTATCTTTTGAAGTCATTCATCCAAAGATTTTTCCCAGGCTTTTCAACAATGATATGCCGAACTGACAAGAGAGCAGGGGAACAACATGTGTGGAGAGAATGCTCGAGGCATTTAATAACTCTGCAAAAAGAGTGCAGAAGGTACGGTTCAATGCAGGTATGCACAAGGATGCCATTACAGAATTTCCAGAAAAAGGGACATGATTTGGGATAAGGATGAGCTTCCAAACTAAATGAATTTGCAGAATTAAAAGTCCAGCATTTTCTCTTTCTGTAGTCATTTGAAGCCCTGATTTTAAAGTGATCATCAAAGTCTTTAATAAACTGCAATTTCTTTAGTTAAAATACAGTTGATTTAGTGTTCCATGGCTTCTGCCAAATGAAACAAACACGATGCTGGTTTCAAATGCAAAGCCATTCAGCTTGCAAAAGAAAACAGAAATTATGCCGCAGTAAAGATGTTTGGCATTCGTGAAAGCTCCATAGGTGAATGGAAGAAAAAAGAAATCACAATTAATTAATATGGCAAAAAACGTATGTGCTTTGCGTAAAGAAGTAATGAAATGGCCTTTCCTAGAAGACAGTGTTGCGCACTAGGTCCTAGAAGCACCAGAATGGAATAAGTGTAACAAGAAAGAATATATGTTTATTTGCCTAAAAGTGGACAAAAAAGAATGCAAATGAAAATGAAAACTTTAAATGAACTTTGTGTTAGTGCAGTCAATTTATGGCACAGAATAATTTAATTCAAGAAAAAACAAAAGTTTTGCAAAGGCTTCCGAAAGATTTGGATAAGAAATTCACGAGTTCCATTAGTATATTATTGACCTATGAAAGCAAAAAAATTATTTACCGTCACATATTTGAAATAGGCATGAAACTCCAGTAATGTTTGACATGACAGGAAATAATACTGATGTGAAAGGAACAAACATGGTTCACATAAAAACAGCAGGCCACAAAAAATCTCGCCTTACTGTTACTTCCTGCTTAGCGGATGGTACAAAATTAAAATGCATAAATACTTTTAAAAGAAGTGCCAAAATAGAATTACCTAAAAGGTGTTTTCATTCATGTTCACAAGAAAGAACGGATGGATGAAAACTGTGTGAAATTATGGATAAGAAATGTTTCGCGAACGAGTCCTGTTGCCTTTAAAGAATCTTGAAAAGTCTTAATATAGAACATATTCAGATCCCATTAAACAAATAATATGAAGAAATTGTTGAAAGAGTGTAATACAGACATGTTAATTATTCCAAGTGGATTAACACCATTAGTTCAGCCTTTAGATGTGTATATCAATGAAACATTCAAAGAAAATTTAAAATGACAGTGGAATATGTGGATGTTATAAGGTGAAAAAACATTTACAAAAGGAGACTAATTGCATCATGCCAGTCCAGAAATAGGGTGTAAATAGATAATATAAGCAAGGGAATGAAATTAAACCTGACACAATTCAAAAGTTATTTTAAATAATATAGTATATCTGACAATCTAGATGGAATAGATGATAATTACTTATTTATGGACTGGAATAACAATGATGGTGTAGAACAGAATTCATTGGTAGGCCTGAAGATATAACGAAAGACGAATATGATAAAATTTTCATGTTATCCAATAATGAAAATGTTTAAGTTCATAAAGTACGTTATTTCTTTTAAATAAACAGAATTCTGGTACATGTAAAAATCTAATTTTTGTATGCTCATTTTTTCTTCATTTTAAATGCATCCTTTTATATTTGATGTACAATGCACACACATAAATTTCTATTTTTTTTGTAGTGTGTTATATGCAGAAATACAGAGGCTGTTCGCAAATTTTTTAAACGATTTTGGTAAGCGGTAATAAAAAATCGTTTGCTACAAAAGAAGTAGTTGCAATTGTACTATGTTTTTAAAAGTCAAAATTATTGTTTGTTGCTTGAAAGTTTTGTTTTTATTCAAAATGGCGAATTTAACAAAGCAGTGGTTCGAAGGCTACATTTACGCTCTTTCCGAAGAGAATTATGCATAATCCGTTATCCAAAAACGATGTAAGAGTCATGGTTTTGTGATATCTAAAGCGTCGATAGGTAATATCATCAACAAGAAAGGAAATAAACGTCAAATTGGAGCCTCAAGTGGGACAAAAATTCCAAACAAGTATCCAAGGAAAAAACGGACGTCTTCGACTATTGCAAAGGTACGTTGTTTAATGTTAAAAGAAAATCCCCCTAGTCAAAGGACAGTTGCAAAATCATTAAAACACTCGGTGTCCACTGTAAAAAAATGATAAACGCTGATTTAAAACTTAAGAAAGTTGAAAAAACGCAATGTGCATCGTCTTCTTCCAAAGCATATCGCTCAATGCAGGACACGCTGCAGAATTCTATATGAGAAACACTTATTCAAAGAAAAATGGAAAACAATTGTCACAATAGATGAAGCATGGGTGTATTTAAATGATTGTAACAAAAAAAGAGCCATTTATTATCATAAAAGGGGAGGGAAAAAAATTAAGTACATGGTTCAAAGAATCGAAAGAAAGTTTTTCTAAGGGACTCATGATTGTTGCTGGTTTTACTTATAATGGCAAGTTAAAAATAAAGAGAGTGCAAAAAAATGTCAAGTTTAACTCCAAATACTGTCAGGAACATATTTTATCGCCAATTTTTCTGAATGAAATACCATCGCTTTACCCACAGTGCCATTAATCTGTGAGACTCCATCAGGACAAAGCTAGCAGTCACACATCAAAATCCACTGTAAATTTCCTAAAAGAAATGCAACAAAAAACTGGTATCAAGGCCATACCCTTCACTGATATCCCTACTAAATCTCCCGATGTGTCACCTATGGATTTTTGTGCTTTTGGACTTTTAAAAACTGCATTATCCAAACGTTGTCCCAAACCCTAACAGGACTTTGGAAAGCTGTTCGTGAGGAACGGGATAGAATATCTCTTCTGCCACTTCAAAAGGCATTATTATCCTGGAAATTGTGGTGTGGAAAGACAGTTCAGAATACGGGATGTCAATTAGAATATTTAAAACACAAGAATTTTGTGTAAGTTAGTTTTGTGAATACAATATACATCGTCTAAAAAATGTCTGAAAAGCCTCTGTATATAGTAAATGAGATAGCAGCCATCTCAGATAATCAAAAACTTGGCTGATAAAGACTTAATTTTAAGAAATCATGTTAGTTTTTCCAGGTTTTTTTTTTTTTTTTTTTTTTTTTTGACAGCATTTCCTGAAATTAATTATTTGAAATTATAAAAATATCGCAAAATTACTCCTACTAACATTTTAACAAATTATTAATAAACAAATTTTGCTTTCTTAAATCAAACAAATAATCCAGACAAGATTTTATTCATAATGAAAATACTCATGAAAGAAATGGAATAAACAAACTACATCAAAATTTACACAAACTGTAAAACTTCATTAAATTTCTTACATGGACTTCTATGACATTATTTTGAAAAAGTTTGCTACCTTTTTTTACAATAGTTCTATACCTGTCAACATAATCGTGCCATCATGTTAACTATATCCATTACCAAAGCTTACAATAGAAGACTATTAAATGTGCGATCACCAATAAGAAAAGAAAAAGATCAATCACTGATAAAACGAATCTACAAATTTTACCGATTTTTCATTTCATCTTTAAATGTTAGTAAACAATCTTAACAATTTCTTCAAATTAAATTCCAGCTCAATTAACAGAGACCCACTTAATTGAAATTATATTGTATCAGCCTTAACTGCTGCTCACATTAATGTGATTAATACACAGTCAAGTTAATCATTCTATATGGATTTCTTAACAGCAATTTATAATCACACATTTTATATCATGAATGGCATGAATAAAATAAGCTTTAAATATTGCTAATGTGATTGTCCATCATTCCCCCAATTAAAAATCATTGTTTCAAAATCTCTTATCTCGCAAAATTTCCTTCAAAAGCACTAAAGGGAATACTATTAAGGTCACCCTGGAAAGCTTTTCAAAACTTATTCCACATCTTTTATTTCCTCCAAATTTTATACCCTGCCCTTTTGAAGCCTCACTTTAAGAAAGATCCATCTGTATCTAATAAGCATAAAATGTGCTTGGCCTAAACCAATAATTACAAGTGATTTTGCACATAAAAAGAAATACAGATGCTGTCTTCATAAAAGTTCTTTGCTTATTCTTCAGCACCTACCCAAACTCTCAGAAATTGATGATTAAAGTACTCAAATAATAGTGGCATTCTATGATCTTTAGGATGATGAACTTGCCTCAGAATGCATCTTCTATACTAATGAAGTAAATTCATGTTCATTAATTTGGGCTTTTCTATAAGCTTTTCAACTTTGTTTCATAGTATTACCTTTCATGTACTCTGCCCCAGGAAGATCCCAATTCTTTACTGGAAAACTACCATATACTGCCACGCATAAACAGTAGTTAATAAAATCAAAGATATTTTTTCCTTAAATTCCCCAAATTAAATCCGTGTCAATGGGACTAAATATTTAAGTGTATTACAGATTTTAATTAAGTTTACTTACAAATCTGTAACCAAGTGATTTTGACGATATATTTATACAAAATTATATAATTCAAACCTTCTTCTAGACATATACAAATAAGTCAAACTTGTTCATGATTGTTTATTTATTACACTTTCTATGTATGGTGGAAAATTATAAATTTTCAAAATTTCCTCATGAAAATATTTTTACCATAGCTTTATCATGCAGATATGTTTACAAACTGGTTTTTTACATGAATATTTTTTATTAGAAGTCAAATATGCTAATTATAATTTTTTGCATTTCATTTATATGGAAGGAAAACTACTTACGAATTAAGAAATTTACATCAGGAGGAAATGTTCGAAGAAGATCGAGAATATAGTGTCTACCATCATTTCCAACGATTCCCTGAAATCAACACATAACACATAATGCAACACAACACAAAATTTAATCTTTCTAGACAGTAATCTATAATCTACAATAAGATGCTCATGCCTAAAAATTTTTCAGAATTACTCTTTTATTACAATATTATTTCAGAATTACTCTTTTATTCTTATATAGCAAGATAACTAACTATATGTAATGAAAGATAACTATCAATGAGAGAGCTTTTATTTTATTGAAATACCATACAAAACAAAAAATACACATTTTCAATATATGAATTTCTAAATAAAATTTATTTTCTTAGGAGACTGATTTTTTATTCAAAATACGTTTTTACTCCATACATAATAACTGGAAAAGCATTCACTCAACAAGATATGTGTTTATGCAAACATATTAAAAGCTAAAAAATTCTCTGTGATAAATACATTTATCACTTTAGTTTAAACATAGTGAACATCCTCATGACAATTACTTCCTTAAGACAATCATTCCTATAAATGATCAGATTTTTCAAGACCATTTCTGCAAAAGACAAAAATCATGTGGAATTTCAGATGATTGTCTTAGACAGGATTCACTGTATACGTAATGCTACAGTCTAAAAGGAATTATAATTTAATATTACACAAAATTCAAGTTTAGACTGATGTTGAATTTAAAATAGACTATATACATTTTGAAAGATGATCCAATATAGTTCCCTTTCCTTTAAGGATTAAAAAACTTACAATCAATTAAGCAACATATGAAAAAATTCTATAAGCCATTTTTTCCTCCAAGCCAATTAAAATAAAAAAGGTATGCTGAAATGAACTTTCAAGAAGCATTGAAGATTTTTCTTTGCTGTAATTACTTTAAAAATCCTTAATGATAGGATCCAAGAAACAGAATCCAAATCTTTTTATAAGAAATATAGTACTTCATTCACAGTTTGTACCCAGAATATTATAATTTCAGCTTTTAATCATAATACATAAGCACTTGGTAAAATAAACAAAAATAATAAAAAATAAAATGTTAAATTCAAATTTAGCATCTATAAAATTTATACGCATTTAATACTTATGGCACAGGAAAAGTGCCATAGACACGATCTCCTTGGATAAAAGTGCAAGAATTATTATTCTTGCATTTACAACATAATACTATGCAAATACTTATGCTAATTTTTTATTATTGTGAATTTGAATTTTGTATTATTGTGAATTTGTCTGCATGATTTGCCTGACATTTCATGTTTTAGTTTTTAATTTTTTTAAAACATATGCAGCATATAAATAGGCCAGTGAAAATTCATGATGTCTTCAGAGATTAGCTGATGCTCAATCTACTGACAATTGACAATCAAATCAATTACCAAATGTGGTGATTTTTGAGTTTTGGAACCTCAATGACAACTATCGGTTGAACTATCGAAGACAATGAACAGGTAAGAAATTTCTTGAATTCCTTTGCTACCATTATTTAATGTTTCTAAACTTAGATAATAATGTGAAGAATGCTTCAATAGTTGATTTAACACTATGTATAAAAAAAAAACTATATATAAAGATTCATTGTGAAACATGTATATTTTTTTTTTCTTTCAAATTAAATATCATTCTAGATGTATGTAATATAATTTTAACAGTATTTGCAAAACATTTTTAATTATTTTTTTTTTAGCTACAGAATTTTCTGAAAACTAAAACAACAAAAATTTTACATTGCTTATCAGCAATCAATTTGGATGCAAAGCTATTTTTACTTTTTCATAAAACATACTTTGCATTCAACTGAAGAGCACAGTTCAACTTCTTCATCTTTTTCATTCAGCACTCTGAAATACATTTTAAAAATTCATAAAAAATTTTTAAAGACAAATTTTTCAAATATATAAAACTAAATTATAATTCAAAACATAACTGCTTCCATCAAACATTTAAACAAATTTATAAGCCTTAAAAAATTACTTCAGTTTAAAACACAATCTTATAAAACTAACATAAATAAAATAAAATTGTGAATAATGTGAATTCATATAATTTGAAAATAAAAGTTAACTAGACAGATATTCAAATACAATAATATAAATATAATTTCTTAATCATAAAAGAACAGACTTTTCACACTAAAGAAGATAAAAGCCTACATTATAGCATTTAAAACTGGGAAATAAATCAGTAACAATTTCATAATATGCAATATTTAATAATCATCTTAATTTAAATTACAATCAACAAGTTCAAAGCAAAGCTTTTAAAAATTAAAAACTACAGAAAACTTCTATAAATAGTAATCTTCAGTATGTAAATATTAGTATAATTATGTTATTTAACAATATTTTAATGATATGAAATATCTTAAGTCATTCACAGTTAATATACAGATATAAATTCAGCTTTTAATTATATTAAGTTAGCATTTAACAAAGTATATAAATAAAAGTAATAAAAAATAGTAAAATTTAATAGCTATAAAATTTATATGAATACATAAATATACTTACGAATGAGGAAGAATTTTTAAAGATTGACCAGCTTTATTGAGCTAGAAAGGAAAATATAATTTCAAACAAAAATCATAAACAGGATAATTTTCTTCAAAAAATATTTAAAACCATTTAAAATTTCTTATGGGGAAAGTAAAAGCAAATGAATTAAATTATACATTCCAGTATAGGTGCAGACTCAGCTTTTGCTGCCATCTCGGTGGCACCAATATTAAATTTAGTAAGAGCAGTAGTTGCACAACTGTTCACATGTCTTAGAAGCTGGTGGCTCCGAGGTTAATAAGTAAACTAGTTTTTGGTGTTGTTTGTCACACCACTACACATACATGAGTGGCAGCCTACTACTGTCTCTTTCTCATACAAGCAACGAACAATGTCACAGCAATATTAACCAGATGCCATCTCATAACCCAATGGCAAACAAATGCCAACAGATTATGGCACTACCACATCAACAATGGCTTTGCTCACATTTCAATATGCTGTCTGGCAAATATCATACCTATTAAAGCAAGGCATTACAACAGGATCTGCGATGCTTTGCTTAAGAGACACGGATATCTCAATGCTTGAAGCATACTTTGTTTCACTGTTCAACACATTATGTCATGAAGGATGCAGAAAGCTTTACATTAGCAGAGCAGCAAAGGTCATCACTGTCTTGTGCTGCCAGACAAACAAGGTTGCGTGGTGCCTTATAAATTTATTTAAATTAAAAAATAATGTTGTATATCTTCTGCATTTAACATTTTCTCAATTTAAAAATTCAATTATAAAAAATACACATATAAATCACACAACTGCTACCAAGTGTTGCATTCAACTACATTTCTTATACATACGCACAAGATTAAATATACAGTACAAAGTCCGAAATCCGGACATCCAATATCTGGAATGATCTAAAATCTGGACCTCAAAACCACCAACAATGTTTTTTCGTAGGCTTTACCCATGCGCATTTGATTACCACCTCCACACATTATAAAACATTTGGAGAGTTCCGATCCTTAATTTCACTTCGACACTAAATAAAATACCTTGTTATTGAATAAACAATCGTTTTAGCATAAATCTGTATGATCAGTAATTTGGCTCCGTTGCTGCGTGTCTGCTTGGCACACATCTCAAACCGAAACATTCCACACAAATACATCGTTGATCTGACAACAACATGGAGAATCATTATTTATTATACTTTCATCACCGCATGTTTATCAATACATGGCAACTCGAGTAATGACTCATGTAGTGATGCCTAAACCATATTTTTATGTTAGTAATTGAATAATAAATGAGTATGGTAATCCTTTATATGTTGATATTACACTTGGCAATGATTACAGGTTTATGTTAAATGCGATAAAAAAATGGTGACAAGGAAAAATTTACCAAAAATTTCTTTTCCAGCTTTAAATAGATTTGTGATAATACTCATAGACCCAAAGATTAACATGAGGGCTATTTGAATTAAGAATAACTGATTTGTTATTCACATAAACCCAGAACTAGCCCTAGGGCTTGTATGGGTGCAATGAGTTGCAGAATTTAGGACCCACAGACCTGTCTTACTGCAAGATATCTAGCGCCGGCCCTCAATAAGGCTGAATTATATGTGGGAATTTATTTACTCAGAACTCTAATAAGCCTTAAGCATGTGCAAGGAATAGATATAAGTACAATACATAACTAAACTAATACAATTGGAGCCTAATTGCCTCAATGCGCTATAGAAGCAAGATAAAATTTAATGGAACAACTTGTCGTTAGTTGCCAAGCTCATGATGCATAGCCAAATACGTATAGTGAAGGGTAGCTAAATTTGATGATGATAGCCGCTAATTTTAAAGGTTTTCGGATATCGCAAAACAAAGCTGAAATTTTTCCAATTAACGGATTTTGTAAGGATATGTGGAGAAGCGGTAATAAATGAAAATTATATAAAAGAAGTTTTTCATTGTGATGACAATGCTTCTAAATCATTAATCAATTAATGAATGGCGAAATCTGTAGCATGGTTCTAAACCCAGAAAATACCACTACTGATAGTGAAGGAAGTAACAGAGAAGTTACTGAAAACAAGAAAATTTTGACTGACAAGTTAGTCGGAATTCTCGAAACAGCAGTTACAGAACTTAAACAATGTAACTAAACAAGAGATTATGTCTCTCTACAGAATTAAAGAGAAAGTATTAGCTCAAAAATGGAAGCAACTTAAACATTTTACATTGAAAGAAATGTTTAATAAGGATGTTGTTGAAACAAATATTAAGTTTTTTTTATATTTTCATACCCTTTAGATCATAAATACTTCATTATTTTATAAATCATGATTTAATATTTATAATTTTATATTTCCTACATGCCATCTTACTAGATTTAAAGTGGTGATCTAATATCCGGAAAAATCTAAATCTGGAATCGATGAAGTTCCATGAGTCCGGATTTCGGACTTTGTACTGTATTGTCTTTTCCTCAGAAAATCCGTAGACAAACATATAGCAATATCGCATCTAAACAAAAGATTCGATTTTTATTGCTGTCTGGCCTTAACTTAAAATACATACCTAATTTCCTTACTTTTAATTATTACTTGAATAGTACAGTTATTTAAGCAGAGTATGATAATTAGTTTAATATGCAAAAATAATAGATATGGAAAACAAATGCAATTCTTAGGGATATTTTAAATACACACTTCAGGTTGAAAAAATAACAAAATAACTTTACGTACCATTTCAAGATATTTAGGATGGCTAAGAACTGTTTTTCCAAAATCTACAGATCCATAAACAACCGAATGTTCTTGTTCCCTTTCTAAAATACCTAAATAATATCAAACAAATAAAATAAATCCTTTTTAACAACCTTTAAATGATTCATAGTCACTAAATTTATTTTCTTTTATATTTCCAAAATTATTTACATTAAATTAATGAAATATTAAACTTAATAAAAGATGCCTGTAAACCTATATACAACAGAAGTTCTTACTTTATTTAACTCAGTGAAAGCATTTAAATTCATTGTAATATGTCTTTAGTAGACAATTTTTAGGAATCAATATTACAAAATAAGGGCAAACTGAATTATCTCATTTCTTAAAATAAATCAAATAGAATGCTAAGCTCAAATGCTCAAATACACATACAGTTCTTAAGAAAATTATATTATATATATAATAAATATTTTTTTCATCTCCACATTTCATTAAAAAATAGCAGGAAACAAATGGCTATGTTTAATGTCACATCAAGTTTAAAATAAATTTATAGCAATCTAATACTCCATCAATTTGAAATTTAACATTTAGGAAGATGGTACAGCTTGGATGCAAAATGTGTCATATTCTGAATGTTCCCCTGAATTTAGACTGTTGATATCCTTATTAAGGACAAATCTCCTTTTTCAAGTTTCTGGAAAACCTGAACACATCCTGTTACCAAAACGTAAAAAACTAATAGTTTGAGTAAATTTTTTAAAGATGGCTAAACTTTCAGAACAAGAATTGGCTAGCATATAATTTCAAATTTATAAACCTCAAGAATTCCTAAACTTGATGTTACACTAGTTAAAAAGAATATGGCTTCTACTTACGTTAAAAAAAAATTGCAATATGTTAAAAAAAAAAAAGACTTTGTGAATACACTCATTTAGCTGTTCAATTACATTAGAAAAGAATTAAATCTTTACTCAGAAAATATACGAAATGAAAATGCACAATATATATAATCTGAACTTACCTGGAATTATAGACTGTGCTGTAACTCTGTAGCCACGGTAATCAATTACAACTGTACCAAGTGTGTATAATCCATCAATATCTACAGCATTATAAGCTCTAACGCCTTGAAGATCATTATTCTGGTTAAAATATAAAATTTTTAATTAAAAAGATGAAATGGCATTTTTACATATACTATAAACATTTAAATATTCGATTTTACAGCTGAATAACAAAAAATTAGTATGGAAAACAATATTAGAACATCTCAAAAATTTTGAACAAGCATCATTCTGAAAGTTGTTATCAGTGAGAGCAGTACTGTAATGAAAAATTATCTCATGATTCATATTTATACAAAATTCTAAATTTTCTAATTTGGAATATCATTTCTGAAGTCTGAAATCCAAAAGAAGTTACGAATTAAAAAACTAGGCCTTCAATATGGAACTCCAACAAAAAAATGAACACTTTTTAATCAAATTTTCATTAAAAAATATGATGAATTATCTTGAGTCATTCCTAAAATCTAATAACAACATAACTAAGTACAGTATAAAGTACAAGATCCAGACCTGTCGGGACTTCGGCGATTCCGGATATTAGATCATCATTTTAAATCTAGTAAGACAGCATATAGAAATTATAAATTTTAAAATATGAAATTGTGATTTCTGAAATAATGAAGCGTTTATAATATAAAGAGTATCAAAATTTACAAAAAAAAAAAAAAAAATCAATATTTATTTCTTTACACTTTACAAAACATTTCTTTCAATACAAGTTGTTTAAGTAGCTTCGTTTTTTGTGCTAATACTTTCTTTTTAATTCTGTTAACAGACATAATTTCTTGTTCAGTCATAAAGTTCCATTACTCAAGTCCTGTAATTGCTGCATCAAGAATTCCAACTAACCTGTCTATCAAAATTTTTATGTTTTCAATAACCTCTCTGTCACTTTCTTCACTACTGCTAGTGGTATTTTCTGGATCTAGAACCATATTACAGATTTCGCCATCTGTTAACTGATTGATGATTGGGGTATTGTCATTGAAATGAAAAACTTCTGTCATATCATCTTCATTTATTACCGCTTCTCCACATTTCTTTACAAATTCCAATAACTGGAAAATTTCACCTTTAGTTTGTAATCCGAAAACCTCCAAATTTGTGGATATCATCTTCACCATCCTTACCATCAAATACAGTAGCTGGCCATAACTTGTGCCAAGCATTTTTTAAAGTATCTGGAAACACATCCTGCCACGATTTTGCAATGCTCCACACAGCAAATTTTATGCTGAAATATTTCAAAAATTCTTGAATAGTCTTATCCTTTATTCAAGAAATTTAACATGGATTTTAAAAATGCTACTTTATATTTGAATTTCAGCACACGCACTGTTCTGATATCCATAAGCTGAATGATGGGACATACAATTTGGAGGAGAGAATAATATGGACACATTACCTTTTACTAAAACTTGAAGTATGAGCCAAACATTTGTCTACAGTCAGGACAATTGTTACATCATCAGGTAAACCAACTGAATTCAAATGTTGCCGAGCCTAGGGTATGAAATTATTTTCAAACCAATCACTTATTAACGCTTGTGCAATCCATGTTCTTTTATTTTCACGATATAATAACAGAGAAAAAAACCTTTAGTACTTTAAATGCTCGAGGTTGTGTATTTTTTCCAACTGCGAAAAGTTTACACTTGTGCATTCCTGCAGCATTTGCACATGCTAAAATTGTTAGTATCGCTTTGGAATCTTTGACACTAGTTGGAGCCTTTTATGTAGAGGCAGCCAAGGTATTTCGCTGTACATATTGCCAGAAAACTAGATATTCATCTAGAAATGAATAGATAAGAATTCATCTGCAAGTAGTTCAGCTAAAATTTTTAATTGCCCTATACGATGGCGATTTTTAAATTTGGTTAATAAACCTGTTGAATATGTGCATTCAGTTTTTATGTTAATTTCTTCATGAATTATTTGGGCATGAATCATTAGCATTGTATCAGCTGACCCGTTCTAGTCATCACTTTGTCACAATCGCCACTTTTAGCATAATGAATAATTTTTCTGTTATTCAACGCAAGTGGAGTGTCAGAATCCTCAAAAAAATGAAAAAAGTTCCTTTATCTGTTTTCTTATACCATATACATTTCCTTATGTCACATTATTTCCTCGTCAACACTGACTTTCCAATGCGCAATTTTGAGACGAATATACATTTATCCGCTTTTTGCGGGAATTCCTTTTTTTTTTTTTTTAATAGACATTGAAGCAACCACCTCATCGAAACAGTTTGGGAGAAGTTTTACCCGATGATTGGAAACTGAGCATCATGTGTCCTATACATAAAAAAGAAGTCATTTTGGAATGTACCAATTAGAGGGGAATCAGTCTCTTTTGTGTTTTCTACAAACTATTTTCCAATATACTTTTTAGTAGACTAATAACTTATACAAAAAATATTGTAGGCGATTACCAATGTGGTTTCCGCAAAGGAAGATCTACAGCAGAACAATCTTTAACATTAGGCAAATTTTGGAAAAAACTAATGAATATGGCATTGCAACGCACAACCTTTTTGTTGATTTTAAGACTGCCTACGATTCAAAAAACAGAAAATATTTAATTGAAGCTATGAGAGAATTTGCAATACCTGAACTTATAAATTTGGTCACCATTCCTCCTCTTACTGAGACAAAATTTAGGGTTAAAATCCAGAATAATCTTTCTGAGCCTATTGTTGTTTCAAATAAGCTCAGACAGGGTGATGCACTGGCCTGCCTGCTTTTTAACCTTGCCTTCCAAAAAATCATAAAAGACTCCAACATTAATAGTCATAGAACTATCTTTAGCAAATCTGTTCAGATTTTTGAGTTTGCTGACGATAATGACATAGTCACACACACTCTCGGGTCACTTAGAGAGGCTTTTACATCTCTAGAGGCTGCAGCCAGCAAAATGCATCTAGCAATCAACCAAAATAAAACTAAACACATGCCACGTGGTAATAACAGTCCCTATTTTGAAATTGGGAATTACAAATTTGAAACTGTTAGCAAATTTAAATACTTAGAATCAGAAGTTAATACTCTCAATGATTTAATGCCCGAGACCCGTAGTAGAGTCAAAGATGCTAACCGATGTTTTTTCGATCTAAAAAAATATTTGAAGTCTAACTTCATTAGCAGAAAAAGGAAGATTTTAATTTACAAAAGCTTAATCAGACCCATTCTTACATACTCTGCTGAGACCTGGGCAATGACAGAAAAAGCTAAAAGTGTTATTTCTGTCTTTGAAAGAAAAATTTTTAGAAGTATTTTTGGTGGCATAAAATGTAACAATATCTGGAGAAGAACTAACTCTGAACTCTATAAATCCTTTAAAGAAATATATCTAGTAAAATATATACAGATTGAGAGAATTAAATGGGCAGGACACCTGTGCAGAATGGTTGAAAAATCAAGTAACTAAAAAGATCTTCTCGGCCAGACCATTCAGCACCCGAAAAAGAGGGAGACCTAAACTTAGGTAACTCAGCTGTTTGGAAACAGGCTTATGAACTTTAAAAATAACAAATTGGATGTCCGTGGCCAGGGATAGAAGAGCTTGGAATTCGATTCTGAGGAAGGCAAGGGCCCATCCTGGGCTATCTGGCCATTAAAGAAGAAGACATCGAAGCAGGCTTTTGCTTTGTGGATCCTGTTACAGCTCCATAATTAGAAACTCTTTTCGACAAAATCAAAAGTTCAAACTTCAATTTTCAGAAAATCGTTGTAATAAAAATAGACTGCAAAAAATATTAAGTTGGATCAAATCAAAAAGTTAAGAAACAGCGCAATCAGATATATTAATTGAAATTCCTTGGAATTAGTAAAGTGTAACTTTAGCCTAGCTTAACAGCATCCGCTATAAATTATTGGCTATGTATCATGAGATTGTCAACGAAAGAGAAGTTGTTCCACTAAATTCTGTCTTGCTTCTTAACACACACTGTTTAATTATTATACTAAAGTCCATTTCTTGCTTAAGGCTTATCAGAGTCCTGAAAAAATAAATTCCCACATATACTTAAAGCTTATCGAAAGCCAGCGCTAGATATCTTACCACCTGATGCAGTGTCTGGGGGGGGGTCCTAAATTCTGCTACCAAGTGCCCAAATTCTAAATTTTTGCTGCCCTTAAATTTTGGGTCCCAGTGCTCTCTCAAAATTCTAAAAATTTTGTCATCACTTAATTTTGTAATTTTGTTGTTCGGTTCTTCTCTAAATTCAAAAAATTTTTTCTTTCCTAAATTCTGCCGCCCGGTGTGGTGTGGCCATATGAGCTCTAGCTCCAGTTCTGGCTTTATGTGAATAACAAATAAGTTATTGCTACTTCAAATACACTAAATGTAATCTTTTTGTCTATGATTATCATTAACAAAATCTATTTTTAACATATGGAAAGAAAATCTTGTTATATTTTTCCTCATCAACATTTCTCAGCACATTTAACTTAAATCTGTAACCATCGCCAAGTGTAAATGTCAACATAAAAGGTTACCATGCACTTTATTATTCAATTACTAGTTTAAAAAAATTGTTTAGGCATCGCTGCATCAGTCATGTGTTGATAAACTTACAGTGATGAAAGCAAAGTATGGTAAATAATGATTCACCAGGTTGGAGTTAGGAATATAAAATATTAGTAGGTGTTAAATCAACAATGTTTCTATATACTAGACTGTTTCGGTTTGATATGTATGTATGCCAAGCAGATACTCAGTTACGAAGCCAAAACTACTCACACAAATTTATGCTCAAATGATTGTTTTTTCAATAACGAAGTATTTTGTGCCATATGTTTTATTATGGAGGGGGGAAATGCAATGTGTATGTAATGTGTAAAGCATTCAAAAAAAATTTCTAAAAAAAAAAAAAAAGGTTGTTAGTGATTTTGAGGTCCGGATTTTAGATCATTCCGAATATTGGACATCTGGATCTCAGACTTTGTACTCTATACAATTTTTCTGTGAGGCTTAAATTCAAAACACAAGCCTTGTAGATTAGGTTGATTATGTTAAAAATATACAAATATTTCAAACTCACCAAATATTAAAAATTGGTAAATATATATTGAACAATTATATATTTTAAACTCACCAAATATTTAGCAAATGTATATTGAACAATTGTATTTTAGTATAAATTAATTATAATCTATGGTATGTGAATCTGTTTTCACTATGAATCTAATTTATGGTGCATCATATCTTCCCACTTCCAATGCTTTTAATCTTCAATAATAATAATAAAACAGTATGTCTTTCAAGTAGATACTAAAAACTTTGTTGATTTGATCACAACATCATTCAGTTAATTCAATCTTCAATAAGAAAAGGCCATAGAAGGAGCTATTAATATAAATACCATTAAAGAAGAACGTTCCAGAATTTATTAGAATTATCTAAGTACTACTCTCACACTAACACCCAGAGGTACATGTCGTTTTGTCCAGTTGGTTTAAATACCTGCTTTTTTCATTGCAGAGATAAGAATGCATGCTAAAATTAACAGACTATTAGAATTCTGACACAAGCATTATCTATTATCATCAACGAATATGTTAACAATATGTTGCTTTTACAGTGTTCCTTAAATGTATTTCCTATTATTGCATCCATTGTCTAATTCTAAAACCATGTAGCATAAGCATCATTTCAGTAAAATATTGGAATATTCAATGAAGCCCCTATTAACTAGTTATTAGCACCTCCAGAGTAGCATAACACAAAATTTAGGGACTACTGCATTGCATCAATAAGATTATCAGGATGGATACTTATGACCTTAGAAACATGAAGAACCTAATAAAAAATAAAACTTTAAAGTCATATACTCACTGGTGCTGAAAATGCAGCAGCATCCCCTCCTACTTCTTTGTAATGATCACGAACATCAAATCCCAGACTAAAGAAGATGTTATTCCAAATAAACATCTGCATCCTGCAAAATGAATAGTTAATTATTATTATGACAGACATTAAAAACTTAAAATATTAGCTAATTCACATAATACCAACTACATTTTTCTTAGTATTTAATGAAGACTTCCCATCCATTCCTACCCTAGGATTATGCAGTTTTTATGACACTCATTGAGGCCTCTGGTTCAGGAAGAAAGCATTTATGAACTTCTGCCAGACAGGCAATATGGCAGTCAATCACAATTCAACCATTTTTATTCCTATTCTTTATGATATTAAGAAAGCCTACCAACTGATGTTAAGAGACCTATCTAAGGATGTTAAAGCATACCAAACTTGACTGAGTAATGCAGACAGGTTATGGATGGGTGTTTATTGCACTTTTAAAATATGGCTCCGTTTTGTTAAACTTTCTCCTCCCACCTAATATAGAGATGAAATGAGATGAGATAGGTTTGACTTCAAAGCTACTTTTAGCAGAAGATAGCATAATATTAATATTCCCTTCCCTGTAAATGTCTACAAAGTTTCAAAATTGAATTCAATACAAGATTCCAAATCAAAACACTATCATAGTTTAGCCTTTTAGAAATATCCCTCTTAATGCTAAACATATCTAAACGCATGCACAGAACTTTTGGATGATTTCATAAAAATCAGAAACATTTAAATATCCCTAAAGAAGTTTTCTGAATTCCTGATAAATTCTCCAAACTATGTTATTCCTGTTAGTCACAGGGGAATGAGTAAAAATTATGTAGACTCAAAATAAAAGACTTCAAAAGCACACTTTGAAACAGTGGCTGCTTTAAAAGCTGTAGCAAATGACATACAGTTTTTGTTCGAATAAATCTCATGTAACTCATAAATGTCCTTTGCCATTAACCGAAAAAAGAAATTCATTAAAAACATAGAGAATGTGTTACATCTGTCTAAAAATAAATCAAAATTTTGTTGGGAAAAGGACCAGCGGTGCAAAATATGTAAAAGCTCACAATTATTTAATATGTGATAAGGCTGAACCAACAAATAATTCAGCTGTATCAAATAGTAAAGAAACGGACAACAATTTATCTATGTTATAGTTATTGCATTGCTTCAGAAGTAAAAGGGAATCTGTAAACAAAACCAAGAGAGCAGGAATATCGTTCCTAGTTTTATTACAAACATTCAGTGCTATAGTAAAAACAAAAAACGTGAAATGATGAGAGTGTTAATATGAAGGCTACCAGATGTGAAATATTTGAAATATATGGGTTTGGTACTGAGCGTAAACCTAAACAGCAGTATAATATAGTTCAACTTGATTTGCAGAATAGAATCAATCTTACTAAAAAACTCAGCACAGAAGCAGTGGTTATCGACGCGATTACACATAACCACATTGAAGTTCCCTCAAAGTGGGTCAGAGAAACATGGCTTTAAGGGAATTGGCCGATATTGGAAATACGGGTACTTGCATATTATCGCAACCAGGTTGGCGCAATTTGTAAGTTTGAATAAAAAAAGTATGAATAGAAAGAAAATGTACATTTATTAATTACAGATAATTTTTAATACAGTTTTTTATATTATTTTGTTTTAAAATATAAAATAGCAATTAAACCCTTCCGGTTTCGAATTTGAATAAGTTGCAGAATTACTTTTTTGGCGGAAATCTTTTGGCTATTGCTTTTAGCACTGATTGAAAACCGTCTTCACCATTAACAGCTTGAGCTTGGCGCCATATAAATTCGATAAGGTATGAGTCAAGATGATGACGGGCTGTTCCACTCTGTTTTTTTTTGCGCCATTTGGCTGAGCCCCACATGCGCTCTACATGTTGTGTGTGAACGCCCGTGTTGGGATCCACAAAGTTATATTTGTGATTAACAGTTCCGTGCAGAAATCCAGCATTTTCGAACTCACTTGTATTGTATCCTTTCCAGCAATCCGAATAAATGATGCTTCCTTCCTTGATATTTTCGCAAATTTTTTCCATGAGGGTAACGGCGCTTCTGTTAGGTACAGTAACCAAAAAAGTCTCTTTCTTTTCTCGGCAAATTCCGCCGAAAACCCATTGCTGTGGTAGTACATGCCCAGTGTTATTTTTTCTTTTTACAAATAAACTTTCGTCTAAACACGTAGGGTTGCCGTAAGTAGGGTCGCCAAATTTGGCGATTTATGCAAATTTTGGCCTGGTTGCGTTAATACGTAAGTACCGAAATACGAAAGAGATGCATATGTTGATCAGCTCAGATTACATTTAGAATATTTTATATGAAAGAAACATAGGATTAGGAAAATGGTTAGTTATTACGGATAGTTTGTTTGGGTTTGTCATCCACGGTAAGAAAATGGAATTGGGCAATCATGTAAATTATCATTATGATAAGACTTTGGTAAACCATATCTCTGAGAAGAAAGAAACAGATTTTCAGAGAGTTAGGTTATGAAGTTGCAGAAAGAGGTTGCTTAAATAACAAGGCATGATCTGCATCTGTACTTTCGTTACAAAGAAATAATTAATAAGCAGTTAAGGGACGGTATTCTTAAGCAAGTTGCATTTCATGGAGATGATAGAGAAATTGGATATTTTATGCCTCATCATGCTGTAGTACATGAATCAAAAGAAATTATGAAAGTTAGGATTGTGTATGATGACACCATCAAAAATTAGAGATGGACAGTTGCTTAATAATTGTTTACATTGTGATCCTAACCTTAAACCAGATTTGCTCAGGATTATTTTAAGATTTCGTTATCACCCGATTGTGTTTTGTGCTGATATTCAAACAGCATTTTTAGAGATTGGCATAACAGAGGAAAATCGAAAATTTTTGCAGTTTTTATGGAGAAATGAGGGGGGAACCGAACTTGATTTCAATGGTAGTGATATCAGATTTTTATGAATGGCACGTGTTCCATTTGGTGTCAAATGCAGTCTTTTTATTTTGACAGCAACTGCATGACTCTATTTGAAAATATATGAAAATTCACACAATTAAGCTTGTTCTGTTTTTGAAAGACATTTAAGTTGACGACTTAATAAGTGGGGCATCAACTGTTAAAGAAGCAGTATCTCACACAAGAAACACTAAATTCATATTGAGTGAAGCAAGCATGAATTTACGGCAATGGTCTTCGAATTCAGCGATCCTTAATGAAAGATGGAAGGAAGCTCAAATGGAATGTCAGATGCCTTCAAATCAAACAGATATACCATTGAAGGTATTACGATTAATTTGGGACAATGATAAGGATACTCTGAAGATAAATCTGAATCAATTTACAAAATTTAAATATGCAACACTAACAAAACATATAGTTCTAAGTGCACGTGGCATGTTATTTGATCCATTAGGTTTAATTACACAACTGAGTGGTAGAATTAAATTGATAGTGCAGACTCTTTGAGAAAAAGGGCTTAAAATGGGATGAAAATATTCCAGCAGAATTGGAATCTATGTTTCAGGAATAGTGGAATGAAGTAACCGAGCTTGACAAGCTTGTCATACGTCGACTATATTTTGATGAGCTGGAGATTCAGCAGCTGGAAGTATATATATTTTCTGACACAAACCCAAAAGCTTATGGTGCAGTCGCATATTTCAAGATTAGATACTATGACAAATGTAGGGCAAGTTTCATAATGTCATCCAGCTCCACTGAATAAAATAATCTCGCCGCGATTAAAACTATTAGGAAAATTTATTTCCGCACATTTGTCTCCTTATATGGGATCCATGTTTTCTTCTTTGAAAGAAAGTGACATTTTTCATGTGGACAGATTCCACGATATGTCTATATTGGATTAGAGGCGTTGCAAATGATTATAAAAGCAACTTGTCTGCAACAGAGTGTTGGAAATCAAAGAAAAGACGAATCCATCGAATTGGAATTTTTGCAATGGAAAATTGAATCCAGCAGATACACTTACTAAGGAAGAAAGTGCACGTTCCTTAATTAATTGTGAAACATGGTGGAGAGGCCCCTCGTGGCTAATAGAAGTTGATGTTCATAACAGTGAAGAAATACCAATTGCTGAAAAGGGCATTCAAGATACTGCTCCATTACTAGCGGACAGACTTCAAAAAGTGAATCCCTTTGAAATCCCAAGTATTGAGTTTGCTGGACCTTTGTTTATGAAAGGTGGAGACAAGGTTTACATCTGTTTGTTTACTTGTGCAATCACATGTGCAGTTCATCCTTGAAATTGTTTCTAGCCTAATGTTATATCATTTGGAACTTGGAAAGATTGATGAATGATTGTTTTCATGATTTTTCAGGTATCTATTTAGTATTTCTTTTGGTAACTGAAATTTGTTACTTGTGTTAGTTAATACTTGAAGGTAATTGTTTTCTTTCTATTTACATTTAGGTTGTGGTAGTTAGTAAGATAAAATATATAGTAATAGCTAATATGATGAAAATGGGTTTTATATACAATGTATTCACGTTATGTTGTATGCTACAAAATTTTGTAAGAGTGTAAGATGTACTATTTTATTGTAAGATCTTGAATTTATGATAAATACCTTTATCGTGGGCTGGAGGATGTTCCAACTAAAATTCCCTACCAAGATAAACTGCTGTCGGCTTTTCCCACGACAGGAGAAAAATACAGTTAGAACAGAATAGAACAATGATATGAAGAGATGTATAGATTGATCCAGCACTGTACCGCATAAGATATTTAATATTTGTTTGAATCATGCTTGTTAATGTTTTCAATAAATGATCACAAGGCACCTATTGTAAAATGAAATGACTCAACACTTCAAAACAAAGAGACTACAGACAGTAATTGCATTTGTACTACATGCAGAAACCAGAACTGCATTGCTTAGTCTTCAAATCCACAACAGAAGTTAGGGACTGGTCAAAATTATTGAGGATATGAAAAACCACATTTTTTTAACCCACAAAGATACAGAACGTGAACACAATTAAAAATGCATTTAACATTACTTATCTATTCTTAATAAACTCTTATTTAAAGATTTAAAAGTATAATTCCAAAAATATGCTATCATTTAACAGTATTCTGAAGGATTTGAGTCAAAATTACAAAACAGTCAAGGAAATAATACACAATTTTATTAATAAATATTTTCAGAAAAATTGTATTTTCTAAAACTGAATAATAATTTCACACAGAATGATTTTAAAATAATTCAAACAGAAATAATTCAGCTATACCACAACAACAAATGAAACAAAATGTAAATTACTTTGTCTCTTCTCCAGGATTTAAAGCCATCACATTTCCATCAACAACTGCCATTGCTCCCCGTGTTGCAGCTGTTACAAAGTCACTATGCACTTTGAAAATAGCTCTTTCACGGATAAGTCTTTCAGGCAAGGTTTTTCTAGGCAGCTCCCTAGTAGTTTGAAGTTCTTCATTCCAATCTCTTGTTTGACCAGGAATATGTTCTTCATAGCCCAGTTTTGAAGAAAAAGCTGATGACAAAAGGTAAAAGTTTGTGTTCTACGATTACATACTTTTTAATACACTTTTCCATGCAAAAGTTATTTGACTAAACATCATATAAAAGTTTAAAAACAGATAACTAATTAAAACAGGCTTCTACAGAAACTAGGCTTATATATTTACAAGAAGGAATTTCTAATCACTACAAAAATTTTAACAAATGAAATTAATGGTTTTAACTAGTTTATATTAAAAATTCCTTTAACATATTTGATGAATTATAAAACAGTAAGAATCCTCATATGAGGGAATAAATATATTACTTCTTAATTATGAAAAAAGGATATGCTATTGTAAATTCAAATTATTACAAAAAAAAAGATTATTAGTTGACCAGATATTTATCATTTATAGTAGACTGTGAATTTTAATATTTCATTTGAAGATTTTAATTCAAATAACACAAATTATATAATAAAATTTTAATCAATAAATTTTCAATATGCACAGCACAATGCAAATTTTTTTAAACATCCATTTATATTACTGTAATATTTTAAAATTTAATAAGAAAATAAAATTTATTCTTCCAGATGGCAGATAATACTTCATGTTCAGTGAGAAAAATGGTAAGCATAAATTATACCAAGTCAACTTTTAAATAATAATGTTTTTAAAAAAATTAAGTTACATTTAGAATATTTCTTATACAGAAAACTTAAAACATAATTAATTCTTACCATCTTCAGCTCGTATTGAGTCAATAGAATGCTCTAAATTAGGTGCTGTCCAGGTATACACTTGATAAGGAGTTGCAACACGCTCAAAAGGATGACGCTGAGTACGTTTCTTTTGAATAATACTAAAATTTCTTTTAAACATTGGACTGACCTGTAAGTTTGCCATTATTTTTTTAATTACAGTAATATTTTTTTAACTTCTACAACAGTAATAATTTGTACTTATTAGAATTAGTTCACACATTCACTTAACAGTGAAAGAAATTTTTCAACACTCATTCATACGGTTTATTGAAAAATACAAGAATTAATTGTTAAAAAGCAGTATATTTCAATAACTATATATTTTGTAGCAATTTTATTTTATTTACAACTTACGTTCTCAAAAGAGAGAAAAAAATTGGTATAGTTATGTATGGGGTAGGAAAATTCTGTAAAGTAATATGGAACACTAGTAATAGCAGTGTTTTAACACTAATATTATATAAAAATAAATTACGACACTGGCATTTTGGCCTTGCAAGAAAATTATTTTTTAATTAATTGAAAAATATTTTGATATAAAAAGTATAGGAGAGAGTAAAGAAAGAAATTAAAACTAAATTTAATTTTCTCAAAAAAATCAACTTACCTGACCAAGCAGATCTGCAAGAGAATGAAAAATAAGCTTAGGATTGGCAGGTTTTGGATTGAATTCTTCATCTGTAGTTCTGATCATGAAAAATAAATTACCTCATGAATAATCTTCTGCAAACATATAACTACATATACATGTATATTTAAAAGAAGGTTATTTTGTAAAACTTTTAAAATAAAAGTGAAGAGTTTTCTAAGTAAAGAGGTTTATACTTATGTTACACATAAAAAAAAATCATGAAAATGTAAGTAGCCCTATGCAATTAGTTCATTTGTTAGGATTTGAATGTAACACTACCAGAGTTCAGAGGTCTTTATTAACAGTTTGAGTTTACACTGCAAAGAAATAAAATAATCAAAGAAATAAAATAATCAAGTCTCATTTACCTTTTGAAATTAGCCAATATAAATATTTCAGAAAAGATCTGTTACAGAAAAAATAGAATTGCTTGTTGTACATAAAATTGATTTCAAGGGCAATTTAGACACACAAAACTATAACTAAATGATACATTTACATTTTTATTAATTTCACTTTTAAAAAAGAAGAAGAAAAAAAAAAAAAAAAAAAATTTAATAAAATTAAATTTTTTTAAATCTCTCTCTCTCTATATATATAATATATATATATATATATATATATATATATATAGTATATGATATACAACATATCCATAAAAGTTTTCTTTTGTGACTTTATTTTTGCAACCATTGATCATAAACATTCCAGTAACAAAAATGTTTTAAATAACATAAATATTCATAATATGGTATTTTAAACTTAAACAATCATTTTTGTAAAAATTATGAAAATTTATTTAACAGTTTTCAGGTCCAACAGTTACAATAAGTAAATTTTTTAATTCATTCTAAAAAAAGAAAGAAATTTGATTCACACACAACAAGATATTTAATTTGAATATTTCATTTAAAAATAGGTACTTTAGAGACAAAAAGTAATTGCTATTACTTTTTTCGAGGGGTTTATTAAAATTATTCAAGGTTGATCTCTTCCCCATTTAATGACATATAGTGATAATCTTTGTTAATTTACTAGTATGTGTAATTTATAATTTTTTTAAGTTAAAATTTTGTTGCATTTGGCATGCCAATATCATTTTCACACAATTTTTAAGTTTTCGAAGGTTAGAAATACGTTAAAGTATTCATATGCAATTTTAATGCTTCAGAATCATAATCTAATTAAGATAAAAAATACCTTGGACAAAACATATCTTTCATTTTTAATGTATACAGATAATGTTTCAAGTTGGCAGCATTCCAATACTTGAAAACTGTCAATGCTTTCTAGAAATACGAGTTCTGTAAAATCCAGCAAATAAGATATACTTTCTGAAAAAATGTGCATTGATCAAAACATTTCGTAATGGCTTACCTGTCGATAGTTGTTGCTTAACCTATCAATATCAGAAACCTTTTCCTAAATTGATATTTCATTTTAATCACATTCATGTTTAAACAGTTCACTGTTCAAATTTGTGTTGTGACCAGGGCTGTGGAGCTGGTAGGGAAAATGACCAACTCTGATTCCGACTCCTGGAATTTTAGACTCCGATTCCTTCATATATATGTAAACATATACACATGGGTTACAGGTTATTTTTTTTTTATATAAAAGAAGTAATAGATGCTAGAGAAAAAAATATGGCATAGCAAATTATTTATATTAATTAGCATTTATTATGAAATGGAAAAACTGGCATTAGAAATTTCTAAGAAACAGAATAGCTTCGGCAAGATCTTTGATAAAGGACCATCGATCCAATTTGATGAACTTCAGAGCTGAGAAGAGCCTTTCTACACTGACTTGAGTAGGAGGAAGAGCTGTTACTGTTAGGGCTACTTTTAACTTTTCAGGCTAGATTTTTATAAGTCCTAAAAAAGGTGTTTTGCACAAGCAATCATGTTTCTCCATTTCTTCAAATGCCGCATAGAAATTTTGTTTGTATTTTTTCATTTTTACATCATCTCTTGGTTCTTTATTTTCATTTGCTTTGCCTAAACCTTTTCAGTATTATCCGAATATTTCTCAAAATCAAATTCATCACTGGAAGAAGATGACAGAGACTCAGTTGCAATGTCTGCATTTTGACTATTCTCATTTGAATACTCCAATCATTTTGAGAATAATTTCATTCTTAAAGAAAGTTCACAGATTCTTATGAATTCTCATAGATTCTAATGAAAGTTCATTCTTTGCCTTTTTAATCTGTTTGTCATCAAACAAAATTTTCTGTTTTAGATCTACACATATTGAACCTAGCAAGATCTAGTTGTCTAGCAAACTAGTTTCTCTTTTCTTCATTGAAGAAGTAATTCCTTCTGTAATAAACCCTTCATTTCAGAAAGAACAAACATCCCATTCTTCCATTCTCGCCTCCTGTTAAAACTTCAGATTGTAGCTTTTTTGTGGCTTTATACAGTGTAGAAAGAAGAGTTTCTAATCTGCAAGATCATTCCACAGTCTTTCTGTTAGTGGAACATTATTGTTATCTACATCTTCTAAAGAAGTTCTTAATTCTAACAACCTTTATATCATCAAACACGTACCTCCCCAACACGTTGCTTGATCAATTAATTGCTCCTTTTCGTTCTCACTTCCTAAGAATGGCATCAATTTTGGGAGTTCTTGCTGCTATTGCTGCTTACTTAAATTGTAACTTAAATTGTTAACCCCTTCGCGCCGACTGTCACGTATACGTGCCAGCAACGAACACACTTATCTACCGGCCGACACGCAGGCATGCCAGAGCATTGTTGCGTTTTCTACCGAATGTCACGTATTTGTGCCAGTACCTTGGAACGTTTTTCAAACTATAATTTCTGCCACAAGATGGCACTGTATGCCCATATAGTTTCAGATATATGTACATTAGACATTCTACTCGAAATGAGAGAAGCATGACTCACATACACGTGTTTTTGTTTATATAAACAAACAGGGAACAAAATGTTTCCGAATGGCGTGATTTATGATGCCTCTTTAAATCGCACTTTATTCGCAAGTGGTAGTTGTTTATTGTAGGTAGAAGTTTTATATGCGCTAAAGCGTTGAGTATTTCGGTTTACAGTTCAGTTTTTAGAAAATAATTAGATCTTAATTCAGAAGTCAAACAACAAAAATCAGCGTTATACCTACAAAATTTTCACAGGACTAGTTTCGATGGTTTTACCGAACCATCATCTTCAGCTGCAAAACCGCAAATGAACAAGATAGGAAATAATGATTAGATAAGATAAGAAAGCCTGGACAAGAATAAGCAAGTGGCGCCATCTGTTGGCGAAACCAGAACTAAAACATAATTTCTCTAAAAGCCGAAGGCAAATTTGGATTGGAATTAGGATCGTTAACTAGAACAGAAAGATTTTTATGAATGTGAAATGCCTCTAGAAAATCCAGTTCTCCAATGGAAGATGTTTTTTGAATAATTTTGGCAGCAGAAAAATTGAAAGTGTGATTTTCGGACCAACAATGTTGAGCAACAGAAGACTTCTGTGTTTCCTTTTTTCTAACATATGCCTCATGTTCTTTGATGCGAAATTTTAAGGCTCTCTTAGTTTGGCCAATGTAAATTAAACCACACTGGCAAGGAATCCTATAAATACCCCAGGAATTCATATCCGGAATGGGGTCCTTGAGTATAGAAGTTGGAATTTTATTGATGGGAGAATAAACAACCCGAAAGTTAAATTTCTGCAAAATATGTGCAACTTTATAGCTAATTGATGGAAAGAAGGGAATGACAACGGAATTTTATAATCTCCTAAAATAAGAGTGTGGCTTTTAGGTGTGTTCAGATGAGAATTTTTTAACTGCTTGATTAATAATGTTGGGTGAAAAGCCCCTGTCAATAGCTATTGCTTTTAAATAATTTAGTTCTTCATCAAGGGCTAGTTTGGAGGAGCAAACTTGAAGAGCACGGAAAACATAGGAATAAAATGAAGCTAACTTTTGTTTAGTCGGATGACATGATTTAAAGTGTGGTGGAAGGCAAACCGATGAAGGTTTACGGTAAACTGTAGTACTGAAGTTGGATGTGTTACGTGTGACCAGAATGTCGAGAAACGGAAGAGAATTGCAAGTCTCAAGTTCAAAAGTGAACTGAATAGCAGGATCAATAGAATTCATTGTTGAAAGAACTTTATTTAAATCATCTTTATTCCTTCAAACAGGGTAAAAGTATCGTCTACGTAGCGGAACCATGCCGGGAAGTTTAAAGTTTCAAACAATTTTGATTCATAATAATGCATGTAGATATCAGCCAGGATGGGACTGAGGGGGCTTCCCATGGCTAATCCCTCAGTTTGTTTGTAATATTTATTTTGGAAAACAAAATGTGTTTGTTTCAAACAGAGTTGAGTAGAGAAATTAGCTCCTCAATTTCAACGCAAGAGAAATGAAAGTCGCGAAGTCTGGTTTCTAGACATCTTAATGCACCCTCCACTGGGACATTGGTGAATAATGATTTTACATCAAAAGAAACCATGAGTAAATTACTAGGAGAAATGTTTTTAACCTTTTTTACAAACTCTATTGAATTTTTTATGGTGTAAATGTTATTGTCTAATAGACTGGAAAATCTAGAAACCAAATATTTAGCTAAAGGATACGAGGCAGTACCTAAATTTGATACAATAGGGCGGAAAGGAAGACCACTTTTATGAATTTTGGGAAGAGCATATAATCTGGCACAATTCGCAACAGATTTGCGGTTTTGCAGCTGAAGATGATGGTTCGGTAAAACCATCGAAACTAGTCCTGTGAAAATTTTGTAGGTATAACGCTGATTTTCGTTGTTTTGACTTCTGAATTAGTATTTATTCGGCGTGTTATTGTGTCTTAATTATAGAAGCCCCAAACAGGCTTACATTTTGCTTTCTTTTTCGCACGTGGTGTGGCCGCCATTTTGTGATTGTAGGAGTTTCGGTGAGTACATTTTTGCAATTTTCAAGTTATGTTTATGTTTTGTACATTTGGATATTGTGCTTTGCTTGTCTGATTTCATGCATTTTGCTTACAAATGTTTTCTTTTCTATTCATTTCAGTGAGGGATTTTTCTGCTGTTTTGTGTGTACTTTATTATTGCTCAGTTAATTTAATTTGATTTTCTGCATTGTTTATCATGCTTTCATCCGTTAATCGTTTCACTAAATTACGCCTGAAACGGCAAAAATTCCTGAATAATCTTGACTTTTTACTTAAATGTAAATGTAGAAAATTTATCCCCAATTTTATTCAAATCAAATCTAATCAAAAACCTTCAAGTCGCGTTTCAAGAATTCTGTTAAATTGCAAGCTTGCCTTACTTCGGTCCGTGATAAGGGATACACGTCAACAATTGTCCAAAATTGAACATGAACTCTATAAGCTTCATCTGGAACTCGCCTAAATTCATATCCAAAATTCATTGCCCTTGAACAAAAGTCTTGGTCTAGAACGGAGAATGCAGTTAACCGTCATAAAAACACCCTTGCAGTTAAATTCAAAAAACTTCTTTTACAGTCTTCCAGTTCAAGTAGTTCAAAAAATCTTCCCATTGTAAACATCAAGCCAATAGTTAATATTTCTAATGTTAGTCTTTCAGAAGAACAAGAGAGAATTCTAAATTATAATTTTAACTTCTCACAAACCTGTAAACCCTCGATTCCAAAGATTTTGGCTCCTATCGAAAAAGCTTTCAAGTTCAGTAAAGTTTCAGATTCACAGAAAGAAATGATTAGGCATCTTATTGCTCATAATGTGAAATTCAATAATAAACCTTTGAAACCAAATCTAACTGCGAGAGAAAGAGCTACAATGCATGAAATTCATTCTAACCCGGATATTATCATTTCAAAGGCCGACAAAGGCGGCCAGATAGTCGTCATGGATAAGAACACTTACATCGATGGTGTCACTAAACTCTTAAACGAAGGACCATAAAATCCGATCCCTAAAGATCCTTCACCTTCGGACTTATCCAAAATAAAAACTGCGATCAAATCTTCGCAAATCATTTCAAGCAACTTAAAACATTCGCTTATCCCATCTGTTGCGAATTGTGCCAGATTATATGCTCTTCCCAAAATTCATAAAAGTGGTCTTCCTTTCCGCCCTATTGTATCAAATTTAGGTACTGCCTCGTATCCTTTAGCTAAATATTTGGTTTCTAGATTTTCCACTCTATTAGACAATAACATTTACACCATAAAAAATTCAATAGAGTTTGTAAAAAAGGTTAAAAACATTTCTCCTAGTAATTTACTCATGGTTTCTTTTGATGTAAAATCATTATTCACCAATGTCCCAGTGGAGGGTGCATTAAGATGTCTAGAAACCAGACTTCGCGAATTTCATTTCTCTTGCATCGAAATTGATGAGCTAATTTCTCTCACTCAACTCTGTTTTGAAACAAACACATTTTGTTTTCCAAAATAAATATTACAAGCAAACTGAGGGATTAGCCATGGGAAGCCCCCTCAGTCCCATCCTGGTTGATATCTACATGCATTATTATGAATCAAAATTGTTTGAAACTTTAAATTTCCCGGCATGGTTCCGCTACGTAGACGATACTTTTAACCTGTTTGAAGGTAATAAAGATGATTTAAATAAAGTTCTTTCAACAATGAATTCTATTGATCCTGCTATTCAGTTCACTTTTGAACTTGAGACTTGCAATTCTCTTCCGTTTCTCGACATTCTGGTCACACGTAACACATCCAACTTCAGTACTACAGTTTACCGTAAACCTTCATCGGTTTTGCCTTCCACCACACTTTAAATCATGTCATCCGACTAAACAAAAGTTAGCTTCATTTTATTCCTATGTTTTCCGTGCTCTTCAAGTTTGCTCCTCCAAACTAGCCCTTGATGAAGAACTAAATTATTTAAAAGCAATAGCTATTGACAGGGGCTTTTCACCCAACATTATTAATCAAGCAGTTAAAAAATTCTCATCTGAACACACTAAAAGCCACACTCTTATTTTAGGAGATTATAAAAATTCCGTTGTCATTCCCTTCTTTCCATCAATTAGCTATAAAGTTGCACATATTTTGCAGAAATTTAACTTTCGGGTTGTTTATTCTCCCATCAATAAAATTCCAACTTCTATACTCAAGGACCCCATTCCGGATATGAATTCCTGGGGTATTTATAGGATTCCTTGCCAGTGTGGTTTAATTTACATTGGCCAAACTAAGAGAGCCTTAAAATTTCGCATCAAAGAACATGAGGCATATGTTAGAAAAAAGGAAACACAGAAGTCTTCTGTTGCTCAACATTGTTGGTCCGAAAATCACACTTTCAATTTTTCTGCTGCCAAAATTATTCAAAAAACATCTTCCATTGGAGAACTGGATTTTCTAGAGGCATTTCACATTCATAAAAATCTTTCTGTTCTAGTTAACGATCCTAATTCCAATCCAAATTTGCCTTCGGCTTTTAGAGAAATTATGTTTTTAGTTCTGGTTTCGCCAACAGATGGCGCCACTTGCTTATTCTTGTCCAGGCTTTCTTATCTTATCTAATCATTATTTCCTATCTTGTTCATTTGCGGTTTTGCAGCTGAAGATGATGGTTCGGTAAAACCATCGAAACTAGTCCTGTGAAAATTTTGTAGGTATAACGCTGATTTTTGTTGTTTGACTTCTGAATTAGTATTTATTCGGCATGTTATTGTGTCTTAATTAATTAGATCTTGTTAGACGTGAATTCTTTCTGTTTTTACCGTTTCAATGTCGAAGCATCGAAAATGTTTAACAGAGCATGAAATAGCAGAAATGATGCAAAATATTTCAGATATTGATTCTGAAATTCTGATATTGATTCTGAAAGATTAACTGAAAGACATTTTCCAAAACTTTGTTCAGAAGAGACTGATAAGAAAATGAGACGACGGTGCTTCGTTTGTTCACATTCCCGGAAAAATCCTCCAAAACGGCAAATGAGTTATTACGTGTTCAAGGAATGTAACGTAGGACTGTGTGTAGATCCCTGTTTTAAAATTTTTCATACGAAAAGAGAATTTTAAGTAATATATTTAGTTTTCAGATGTATAATGTTAAAAGTCATAAAATGGTGAGTAATTAAAATAAAATGTGTAAAATATGCATTTAAACAAGAAATAAGGTAATTAAAGTATATATATAAAAATATCTATAAAGCATAAGCCATTTAAATACTCTATAGAGCATTATTAAACAATGCGTTGATACTTCGGAAATTTCATTTGGGTAGGCTTGGTAGCAAAAAAGCTCCCGGCCCTGGAGAGACGCTTGCAGAAGACACTGCCGGCCTCCGCGATAAGCGGGCGATTTCGCTACCCGGCTCGAAGGGGTTAATCAATAATGGCAAATATCACATCCACCCCCCTCCCTTATATTTATTTAATACGTCAAAAAATAGAAAATAACTATTTATTTATGTATATAATTCATAAATAAAAATAATAACTCAGTTTGTCATTAAACCTTTTTTCAATTCACTTTAATTTCATTTCAAATTCAAAATGTCCAACATAAACTGGAGTTGACATGTTTTTAGCAAACTCCAACTCAGACTCCCTTTTACCCAAAAGTCTGCCTAACTCCGATTCCGACTCCACAGCCCTGGTTACAACCTCTGAGTTTACAAAGAACATGATCTAAAACTTTAAATGCCTTGGTTAATTTTTGTTGTTACATTATGTTTTTAACTATTTAGAATAATACACAATGTAAGGAAAACTTAAAATGAAGTTTTTCTTTCAAGGTTAAAGAAATCTTACTGATTAATATAAAATCCACGTGTTGAAGCTGTTATATGAAGGCGCTTATCCTCTGCAGTTACAACATACAGATATAGTAAGTCACCTGAAATAAATAATATAATAATGTTTCGGGTTTATTCTTTAATAATCAGTTCCACTAACGATTTATAATATATACTCAAAGGTAAGAAAATTTCTTATAGAAGACTTTAAAACAAGTAAATCACATCAAAAACCTGTTGAAGATCATCATTTGAGTCAGATAATATTATTAATGAGAACAAAAACATAATACAGCTGAAACTATTTTGTTCCAACAAACTGTGACGAAGAAATTATTTGAGATCGATGTAAACCTAAATGCTAAATATTAAATATAGAACTTATGCAAAATTTATATCAGGAAAATTATAATGAACAGAAGTTAAAATAATTTAGAATTTAAAAAAAAAATAATAAATAAATATTATAAGGAAAATATGGCTTTGAACAAATACTAACACAATCTTTTATTCAAAAAAAAAAAAAAAAGGTTAAAAGAGGATTATCTCCTACAGTATATTAAAATAAATTAAAATCAAAAATACTATAAGGCAAAAATAGTTGTAGTTTCAAACATAAAACTATGTTCTCAGAACATAATCAAAAGCAGGACATGCATGGTTAACATGCCTCACCAACAAAACACATAACCATTATTAATAAAAGTTCTCTTTTCAAAATTAAAATTCCAGTCATTTTTCAAAAGGTGATAAACTATGATAAAGCACATAAAAGCTAAAGCTTCGGAAAGATATCTTCCAAAATTTTCAAAAAAACTATTTTGATCGGTTTTTTGTTTAACAAATTCTGTAAATTACTACTAGATTTTTCTAATTTACTATTAGATTTTTCAATCCAATAATATACATAGCAAAATAATACTGATAACAAGAATACCTCTAAGTTTTCTGAGACCCGGAGGTGGATTCCAGCCACTTATCATAAGAACTTTTAACGCTGGAGCAATCTTAGAGAAAAATTAAAACATTTTTATAAAATTAATTTCAATCCTAAATATCTGTTACAACACAAACAAAACTTACACAGTATTTAAAAAGTTAAAAATCTGCCAGAAAAAGTAAAATGAATATACCTTAGGGTCTTTAGATTGTGGTTGCAAAGGCAGCAATGGTAACTCATTAACTGATGGTAAAATATAATCTAGAGGTGTACAATCCACAGAATCTGGACGACATTTTTTCTTTTCTGAAACAGCAAAATGTAAATTTTTTTTCCAAGAGTGGACTACATTATTTAAATGCAGGATATTTAAGTTGATTTTGTTTTGTTTTGTTTTTTGTTTTTAAGATTACAATTTAAATGAAATTATTCACGCATCTGTATTCATGTACATGTACTTGAGATATGATTAACATATTTTATGATTTAATGAATATTTTATAAGTAATTGAAATAGTACAATATGAAAAATATTATACCTAATAATAATAAAATTTTTATGCCTAAAATAATAAAACAGAAAGCTTGGAACAAAACTTTAAGAAATACTGCATAAAATATTAGCAAAGAACTTAATGCATTTTCCTGCTGACAATTTTGACAAACAAAATATCATCAGTAATCAATAAGTAAGATCTTACAACACACTCATAAGATTTTTTATTTGGTTTTATGTAAACCCGATTAATTCTTGATAAGGCAGCGTTAAAATATTCATCTCCTGCCTTTGCATAACAAATGCTTCAGTTTCTTGGAAGACCTACTAAACTAAAAAATTACAAGCAGCAGGATTTGAACATTTAATCAACTATATATTGATATAATTTTGCATCCTACTACTGATGCTCATAACACTAAAAAAGTTTGGTGTTCGACAAAATAGTTGCAATAAAAACATCATGGAACTAAGCAATACCACTTAGATTTGTATTTTAAGTGAATATATGAGGCTCTGAGTTGACAAAAAAAATGACTATTTGTTGCTATTTTAAATGCCATTATAGATTTTGGGCTGAAAGAATGACTGATGCACATTTCAATAAATTTGTTAGTCAGATAACGTTAGCTTATATTTACTTAAGTATTTTATATGTTATATTCACATCAGCAAACTTTTATGAATAGGAAAATGCCTTAATTTCATTAAAAGAAATCCAGAAGTTGCACATCTTTTAAATTTTAAAATAATACATCTAATTGCTTAATATGAAGGCAAGCACATATCTGTTTATTGGAAAGTGATACATCAGTAAACTTTTCACAACCTTGCAGAATAATGATAAAGAATATTGTCTACATATTATTTCGGAGCATTTAGTAGCAGCTAGAGATCAAGAATGATAAACATACAAAAAGGGAAATCAGATTTCTGAAATAATTATATCTTAAAGGACGATCATTAAGACATACTTTATGTTTATAAAAACAATGGAATGCACAGTGCTCTTTCAACAAAACTAAAATACAATTGTGAATAACAAAATTTATAATAAATCCTAATAATAAAGAATTAACCTCAGTATTAAAACTATTATAGTGAAATTAAATAGATTTTTAAATATCACTATGTACTTTTAAAATGGAACAATAGCATTGTATATTTATCATCAAGATATCATAAGATAACAATTTGCCTGATTCAGAAGTACAAATAATATGGCCAAGGATTAAAATATTAATTTATCAAAACAATTTTTAGATGGTTAATATAATTATATAAATGTAATTATATTAATTATATAAATGTTTTAAATTTCAAAACTTTTAAACACTCACCTAAAATATCACCTTGAGTAATAGTATTTAAAAATGAAAATGAACTACACTCGACACCATTAAAAGCATCAGCAGGATCCAGCGATTTCAGTAAATCTCTAATATGCCTTACATGAATTCTAGCTTCTCTCACAGTATATGGTTCTACAAAAGTTTAAAAAATTGTCAAATTATATAAATATCAACTGAATTATACATATATACATAATAATGGAAAAGTTGATTGCGCAGATGATGATCAATAGTGAAGAGCTAATTTACAGTAAAGGCAGATTTAAATATTTATTTTTACTTTAACATTTGCAAGCACAAAAACCTTGGCACACTTATCATGTCTGTTCGAAAAATTTACATTTACAACCTTTGTGGTAAGAAGACAAGCAACAGTATAGCTAGACCAAGGAGAAGAAGCAAAGTGTATTATCCAATACAGATGCTTAGTTCAACAGCAGAAAAAGGTTTGGGTTTTGAAATTTTGACTTTCCAAATTAGCTATGTTATCCAGCATTGTGTAAAGGATGGAGAGGGAAAATATCTGAATTAAAATAGAGAATTAAGTAGCTACTGTGAAATAAAAGCTAGCATTTTGCTTTACATATTTATATTACACACACACATACAGGATCATAACAGATTGAATGTGCACAAAATTGAAGAGTGCTTGATAAAATTTATTTTACCAAGAGAAACACTTCACAGTTCATGAACTTTCCAAAAAAATACTCTTATAACTTTTTACAGTATAACAGAGTACAATCAGTAATTACACTTCAAACTACTAAGAACGTTAAACACAATGCAATGCAAAGTACATCTAAACAACGAAGCTAACTTGTATATCTCAATACTCTAAATTCAGCTATGAACTAACAATTGACAGTAAGTGCTGTCTCCAAGTAAAAACTATATAAATAGTTTTCACTCAGGAAAATTTACTAGAGATAAGAAATGTCTAGTAAATTTTCCATTTCCTGAAATTACTGGAAAGCATATACGGTTAAAATTACATCTAAGGGCTGGATACAATTACAGCTGCATATAGTGATCAATTACATTTATTCAACTACAAAAACATTACAGTCAAACAGGGACTGTACCAAAGTGTCAACAAATGGTTGCTAAGTTTGACAACTTTTGGTGATTTCTCTCGAAATTTGGCGACAAAAATTAGTCTCCAAAACCATTGCCTGCTTGCTGATATCTCGCCAATTTAGCGAGATAGCCATTTACTGAATGTTAAAAGACTTGCCCCTATATTCTTACTTTTCTGGCACAGAATTGCTTCTTTAGATTTTGTTACACTATATGAATATATAAACTATAATTTCACTAAAATTATTTTTATCTGTATAAAATTTATAACAATGTGTATAATTCCAAAACAATTTTTTAGAAAACAAAATATAAACATGCCTAGTATTTTCGCTCATTAAGCTGCTGAAAAATTATCAGTAGACATAAAATAAGAAATTTACAACTAATTTTTCAAAGACCAAAAATTGAAATTCATAATTAATAAATTTCAAATAATCCTATAAATTCAATAATGAATTTTAAAAATATTAAAACTAAAACTTTTCAAACAAGCAATACACCAATTCAAAAAATTAATGAATTTTAAAGAAAAATTAACATAATAGAAAGGAACTCAATCAACTTCCATGCCACTTCGTCAGAATGAGGAACATTGAAATCAATTGAAATCTCTTCCACAGAAATCCTTGTTTTTCTGTATCCAGAATTATCTGATGAACCATTTTAATGTATTTTAATTATAAATAATTCACCCGACAATTCTGGCCCCTCCCTAAAGCAAGGAAAAAACAAAGTAAATTCTAATTAGAATCTTGTAACTTAAATAAAGAGAAATCTATTTAAAGAATTGAAACTGAAAGTGAAATAATAAAATACTTCAGTGAAAAATTCAAATAAAAATTTTACCTTTAAACAATAGCATATAATCCAAAGAATTTAAAACTCAAGTGAAATTATAAAACTTTAGTGAATAGGCTTAATTAAAAACTTTGAGCACTTCGAAACATTGAATAATATTGTTACAGTGGTGACGTATAGGTTTGCCATTTAGGCTTCATTGGCAAAATTAAAATACCTTGGCAAGAAAGTAATCGCTCAAAAGGCTAAAAATTGTAACAAAAGAAGAAATTTTGAAACCAGAAGAAAAAAACTTTTAAATATTTCTAGGAAAATATTACTTTTGACAAAGAAAAATATTACTTCACCAACTAAAATGAATTTTTAAATAAATTCTGATTCTTTTAAAATAAAAATAAGAATATCATTCAGTGTAAAACTTTAATTAAATTTTAAAAACAGTTATTCTTTAAAAATAGTAGACTCAAAACGAAGGTCAAAAAGCTTTTAATAATTGTTTTGTAGATATGAATAGAAAATTAATAAAGTTGAAAAATTTTAGATTTTTAAATTTTGTTATTTACAATTACAGAAAAAGGTTGAAAACGGAAGTAAAGAATCCATTGTTAGAAAAGCAAAAAGTCTTCACATCATGGGCTTATCATGACGATTTTGAATATAAGGTCCTTGTTTAATAATAGAAATTAAGAGAACAAAAGTAGAAATTAATTTTAAAAAATGGATAAACCTACAAAACCTTTAAAACATCCTTCTTTATCTTTCTCTTTTGGACCTTTCAGATAAAAAAAATTCATACTTTTAAAAAGTATTATAGGATGTAGACTATTCTAGATTTCTTTAAAAGACTATTAATGAATTTTAAAGGAATTTCATTTTCTTTTAAAATTTTGGTCAGAGTTAGAATTTCTTCTTTTTGCGTTTCTATTTCAGTGTAAACTTTTTTTAATTTTGCTAATTTGGTTAATAATAGTATTTGTAATAATGTTTTTAGATATGTTGGAGTCCCAATTTATAAGCTTATTAGTAGAAAAATTAATCTTTTCTTTTATCAAAAAGTTTAATTTCTAATAGATTATGAATACTTAGATCAAGATAAACGATTTCAGTTTGGTTTTTATTGGTCTTACTAAGTTTTATACAGTTTGGGTAGATGTTGCTGCTTTGGATGAGATTATAATTGCTGAAAGTAATAATAATGTAATCAATATATCTCTAAATGTGTTCAAATTTACTGAAATCGTTATCAGATAGTCTCTTTAGGAAATTGAATTCTTTAGAAAATAGAAATAAGTTACAAATATAAGTGGAATATGAACTTCCCATTGGAATTCCTTGTGTTTGCATGTAAAGAGAGTTTGAATGTTTAATATAGTTATTGTATAGCGAAAAATGTAGAAATTCTTTTCATTTTTGCAAATCCAGAATATTAAGTATTTCAAGAAAAAAATTGTGTCATTTCTATAAGACTTTCGTAAATTTCCTTGAGTGGCAGACATGTGTAGAGGTATTCAAAATTCAAAACAGTTATTATAAATTTTAGGATTTCTAACTTCTTCAATGATTTTTAAGTTTCGTAAATAATCCAGAAGTTTTTGTCGGCTCAGTTTATTCAAAAACTATATAATGATTAGTTTAAAGTAGATTGGTAAAAGTATTATCAAAATTCCTCTTGAAGTTTCTGGTTCTTTTGGCTATAAATCTAAATCTGACAGGAATTTTATGAAATTTTGGTAAGGCATAAAGATTGACAAATCTTATATTTGTAGTGAAGAAAGAAATTCTCCATTTTTTGTGAAAAGCAGAAATGTTCTTACTAATAGTTCTTTCTTTATTTTTGTAGAGACTATAAGTTGAAGACTTTTTCAGTTCATTTTCAATTATATTACTGTAGAATTTTTTTCATAAAATACTGAAATTATTGTTTGCTTTATCAATTTTGGTAATGGTAGATTGCTTTTTCAACTGTGAAAAACTTCAGAAGTAAATTTTTCCAGTTTTTAATTCCTTTAAATCCTTGAATTTTTTTCAATTTTCTTTTTGCTTTGAGTAATAATCTCAGTCTTCCATTCTTTTAATAGATCTGAAGGTAAACTTAGTTGAGAATTTTCTTTCAAGATGAAATTATCAATACCTGTAGAAGTTCTTACTATACAATGTAATTTATTACTGAATTTAATAGGTCTAAACTTCATTCCTTTTTTCATAAGCAGTCTAATCTCTTGATCTTGAATAATGTCCAGATTTGCTGTTAGAATATGCTTATACTCTTGGCAAATCTCAACAAATGGCAAAAACTTTTATTCATTACAAAATCATGGTGGTTAGTTTTTTGTTGTACATGAAGCAAACCAAAATTTTAGAATTTTAATGGCAGGAAATTTTTGTTGTGCTTGTTAAAACTTTTATGAAGCTGAAGACCATCATAATTTTTTTGTAGAAAGTTATGGGCACTTTTTTTTTATTATTATTTTTGGAAAAAGCACAGTTGAATTTCAATTTTATGAAATTAAGTACTAAACCTGTGCGACACGGTGTGCCAGGTCTGGGTACACCTAAAAGTTTCCCTCTGTACACACAGAAAAATTTAATGAAAAGGGATTTATAGGTTAGTATAGGTTATTCTGAACCTTGTTTATTTATGCCACATGGCAGCACAACACAAACCAGTCCATATATTTTAGCAATGTTTAGTGTTTAAAAACCCACATTTTTCAAAGAAATCTTTCAGATTATTTTATCATATAAAAGGAATTGTTTGAAAACAAATTTCTATGTTATTTTCTTGGCTATATACTAATCTCCTTATTCTATATCAGTTTTAAATTTTTATCTTGAAATCTTGCCTAAAATCGGACAGCGAACATCAGGTGTGCCCGGAGTGGGATCACTGAAACACTAGGACCAAACCAACAACTGTATTTTTGTTTCACTGCAGTTCGCTAGTGGGCTCATTCCCAATAGAAAGATGGGCCCACATCTGTGTTTCATTTCCTTTTGGGGGTGTTGGTTATCAGCGTTGGGGTGATTTTCTGAAGGTCAGGGACAATTTTATCACTTAGCTGTTTGGTTTTTTCACTAGAGCAGTTTTCATTTTCTCTTTCACTTTTCTTCAAACAAGTTTTGTTAGCACTACATTTTGATAGTTTTGAGTTGTAGGCATTTATTTAATTTAATTTTATAGTTTTAATTTTCTAATTGTAGATATAATATTAGTTCTTTTTTTCTGATTTTTAATTATTTTGCAAATGGAT